TTTATCAACCTCGAGAGTTGGTTCTTTCCTCCCCCCCCCCCCTCTCTTTCTCTCTCGCTGTATAACTTCACAATCCTTCGTGGGTCTCCGCTGTATGTACGACTTAGCTCCAGCTACTTGAGTCAGTAAAACATATCTTCTCGACAGTTGTGTATTCCCATGGCAGGCAAAACTTTTAGGACGTTATCCCTCTATCTGAGTCTAGTTTTGCTACCTCTTGAGCAGGTTGATTTTTTTATGGATTTCGGACAAACGATCATTTACAAACAATTAATACTTTAACAGAAAGATCAGTGAAATATAATAGATCACTTGTACTAACTTTTGTCGATTTTAAAAAAGCTTTCGACAGTATTGAGTTTCCTGCAATACTAGCATCATTACACTAACGCAGGTTGGATTACAGATATGCCAAGTTGAGAGAACATATAAATAAAAATGCGACTGCAAACGTAAAACTATACACATACACAGATAAGTATCAGATACAAAGAGAAGTTGGACAAGGAGATATCATATATCCTAAATAGTAGTTTTAGAATACACTTTTAAAAGCCTAAAGTGGACTAGTGTTGCTCTGAATAGTGATGGCCAATGCTTGAATCACCTTCGCTTTGCTGATGATATTGTCTTACTCTCTGAAAAACTAGGTGATACTCAAATAATGCCAGCAGAGTTGACGGAAGCAGCGACTAGCGTTGGCCTATATATCATCTTTCAAAAAACAAAATTCTTGACCAATCTGATGGCGAGTAATAATTTACGAAAAAATGGAGAAGAAATAGAAGTCCCTGAATATTCACGCTTTGTCAATGAGATAAGAATGGGTAAGGACAATAAAACTTGCGAGGTAGGTATATCGCCATATAAGTCTGGCCTGGGTGGCTTTTGGAAAGCTTAGAGACATATTTACGTCGAGCATTTCTCTTTGTTTGAAAAAGAAGAGTTCCCGAGCAATGTATTTTATCTGTGATTATATACGGCGCCAAAACATTAACCTTGATAAATTGTTCAATCAGCAGTGGACCAAAATATTTGATATTTTATCACACATTCACATACCCCGAATGACCGACAATCGTTGAATCACAAGACTAATAATATGTACCCAATATATGAACCCCAGAGAGGATAAAAGAAGTAGAGGTAGACCATCAGTTAGATGGAACGACAATATAAAGAGGACAACAAGCAAGTAGACAAACAGCTCTCAAGACCGCAATATGTGGAAGAAGTTGGAGAAGGCCTATATTAAACAGTTGACAAGGATGGTTGAATGATGATGATGCATATTTCTAGTAAATAAATGTTTTCATGGGTTTTCATTGGAACTCAATTTAATTTCATACAGGTCACCAATTTATTTTGAAAACTCCAGAACCATACCCCCTATCCGCTTCCATAAACCAAGAGTTATCCGAGAAGCTATGGAAGCTTTTGAGAAAAGACCAAATTGTCTCAATAAGAGATTATTGCATACGCTTACCTTCGACACGGAGACTTCTAATAAAGAAAATATCGTCCGCTACACCCGCCAATCAAAAGTTTCCCATTACACCTAGCAATGAAGCCTTCAACGTTTCTAATATAATATAAAGTTTTTTCTAGTATCCTATGATAATGTTATTGTTATTCATTACTTAAACAAATGTTTTTTTATAAAATAAATTGTAACTCCACTTAACATGGTGCCATGTTTGTTTTTTTTTTTTTTTCGAGGATTTTTTACATACCATTTCATCTTATGGCCGTAATCTCAAATTTGTAAGTTCTTTACTTATAATATAATATAATTCATCATAAACTTTTTAGCTATCACCCATGATGGTATAAAGCATACCGCTCTTATTACCAAAAGAGTAGCTTACTAGCATACCAAGTGTACTTTTAACTTTATTAATTCAGCTTCTTCTTAGGGTGCCTGTCCGTTCCGAACGTTGGTTATCATTCTGGCTATGATGATTCTATTGGTTGCTATACGAAATAGCTGTGTTGAGGTCTTTCTATACCATGATCTCAGGTTAGCAAGCCAGGATATCCTTCTTCGTCCTGGGGCTCTTTTTCCTTCAATGGCCTTAGTTAAGCTACACACCCATTAATCCCTTCTTTTGTATCTAACTGACTAAGATTTAATTAATAATTTAATAAAGTAATTGATGAAGGAAAGATTCCTCAAGAATGGAACAACTCCGAAGTCATTTTACTATTCAAGAAAGGAGACAAAGCAAACATCGAGAATTACCGACCAATATCCTTGCTATCACATATGTATAAATTAGTATAATGTTCCAATTCATATGGCGTTCGTCGATTTCCATAAAGCATTCGATTCCATCGAGTTATGGGCAGTGCTTGAATCTCTAGAAAATGCACGCATAGATTCAAGATACACTAACATAATTAAAAACATATATGAAAATGCCACCACGCAGATGAAGCTGGACGAAAGCCAATCCCATATCCAAGAACTAAATGATATGTTACAACAATTAAATGCAGTTTTAGGAGCGGTAGGCTTAAAAATGAACTACAGCAAAACAAAAATACTGAGCCGAGACCAGACAAATATAACAATACAAAATCATACCATAGAACATGTTGAACATTATGTATATCTAGGTCATGTTATCAAACTAGTAAAACCAAATCAAGATGCTGAAATTAAAAGAAGAACACAACTGGCATGGGGCGCTTTCGGCAAACTAGCACATATCTTGAAAAACACCTCCATTTCTATAAACTTAAAGAAAAAGGTGTATAACACATGCATACTACCAGTTTGTACCTACGGCTTGGAGACAGTAGTACCTACTTGTCAAAAAATCTGCTAAAAAATTAGACAACGCAAAGAGCAATGGAACGAATCATGCTTGGAATATCCCTGAGAGACAACGTTAGAAACATCGAGATAAGAGGTAGAACGAAGATTAGGGATATTTTGGAAGAAAATACAAAAATGAAATGGCGCTGGGCAGGTCACGTAGGCCGATATAATGACAACAGGTGGACACGGAGAATTCTAGAATTGAGACCAAAGACGACAACAAGAAGCATGGGAAGACCTCAAAAAAGATGGGTAGATGACATAAGAGCAGTGGCAGGTAAACAGTGGATTAGATTGTCGCACGATAGAGAAAGATGGAAGCAATTGGGAGAGATCTACATTCATTAGTGGATGGAAAATGGTTTACAAAGAAGAAGAGAAGAAGACTATTACTATTACAAGAATTAATATTAAACTCAGCAGTCTTTAAAGTTGAAACACGTCTATTATCATTGCACTGAGCTTTCGACATCCTCTTTGATGTCTGTTTCAGGGCTTCTGAGGTCTCAGTCTATCGAGTCTTCACACTACGGCACTGATCATTAACCAATGCATTACGACTACTGGGAACAGAAAACGATTCTTGCTTGTTCTTTTTGTAGATGTGTAGTCTGTTCAGAAAACAAAATAAGAAAGGAAAGTCGGTACTGGTGCAAAGAGTGTTATATTGGTCTTTGTCTTACGCCCTGCTTTGGAGTTTACCATACAAAGAAATGATATTTCAAATTTATGTTTAGGTTTACATATCATATTTAATTTTTTGTACTATTTGTGACGAAAAAATTAGCATTCTCCATATATTTACTACTTTCAATGTTTTTATGGGATATATTATATGCGCTGACATAGAAGTTGGTGCTTGTGACGTATGTCCACCAGTGCAGAATTATTTGGCTAACTACAATTGCATTTATACATAATATCTAAATTGGAGTTTGGTTTGTCGATTTCATGAAATAAAGTTTCGACGTTTGCCTGGCCAAATTAATTTCTTCTCTGACGAAAATTATTTCGTCAACAGCAGAAAAACGTCATTTATTTGGGCTTTGACTAAGACCTGAGGATTGACTGAGAAGCGCTCGAGCTTCGAGGTTTGACTATACAAGTTTGCTTGTTTTTCGGCTCGTTTTAACTAGAGTGCAATGTCGATATTAATAAACCGTAAAACCTACTATTATGTATTGTTAAAATAATCTCATGCTAGAAGAAAATTTATATATTTTATCATTTCTTGGTACTAAGATGTATTATTTTAGATAATGCATAGGGTATTCTGGAAAGAGTTTAGAGAAGATTATCAAAAGTTATATCTACTAAGTAAGCTCATCGACAAAAACATTTCATCTTTGGTTTTAATATCGTATATGCACAACATTTTCTTCCTTTGTCTTCAACTTTACAACAGTCTGAGGTAAGAAAAACAATATTTTATTAAGTTAATAATAAATATATTTAAAATTTCTGTCCGAAGCAGACATTAACATTTTATGTACCCTGTAGATAATAATATACGCAGTCTAACATGAAACTACCGTGGCGAAATTTTAATACTGCGAGGCGATTTCGAAAACACTATAATTGAAGAGAATACATGCAAAAACCGATAAATCCACTTTTTCCAATTTTGGGATAAAAGCCAAAAACTTGTACAGCAAAATCCCATAACAATTTTTTTTTATTTCGACGTTAACGTGCTCGGCTACTATGGCCACTCACACAGGTATTATAACATGAGTTTTCATTTCACATCACAAACAATAAGTGTTACGTTAAGAATATGTTACAATAATACGGAATGATAATAATAATATTACACAATGTCTAAATTAAAATCTAATTATATTTTTTGATATAAGTGTTCATCTCTAAGGAAATGTAGCCCAGCTTTTATTTGGTCAGGGTCGTTTAGAATATCTCGTACTTCATTTTTGAGTTTGTATTGAAATCTTCTGGCAGAATATTGATGGCATTCAGTGAGGATATATTTGATTGTCAAATATGATTGGCAGCTTTGACAGGAGGGACGGATGCTAGAGGACATTAGGTAGCCGTGTGTGAGTTTTGAATGTCCTATCCGTAGTCGTCTTATCACAATGAGATCTCGTCTTGACAGGGCTGAATAGTCAAATGTAGGCTGACTGATTATTGACGGTTGTATTTCGTGTAAGATCGAACGGTTAGAGTTCCAATGCTGCTGCCAAAGGAGTCTGGTTCTTCTTTTAGTATATGATTTTAGGTCCTTACAAATTAGAATTTTATCGGTGATTTCAGGTGATGCTGTAGCAAGTTTAGCATAGTGATCTGCAGTTTCATTGCCTTCAATACCAATGTGAGATGGCAGTCAAATTATGGTAACTGTTATGTTTTGGGATAAGATAATTTGGTAAGAGTCTAGGATCGTTTGGACGATTGGATAATCGGTAAATATATTTTTGATAGAATGGATTGATGCTAAAGAGTCTGTGCATACGGCAACCTGCTTATTAGGTGGATATATATGGTTAAAAGCTTGCAATATACTAAATAATTCACCAGTATGAACTCTGCTGACGGATGGTATAAGTGATGACTTAATTAGTGAATGAGAGGTTGTAACAGGGCAGTCTACTCCTGTGTCATTTTTTGAGGCATCCGTGTATAATATTAGGTCGTAACTATTTGTATTTATAATGTCTTTAAATACATTTATAATGATCTCTTTCGGATGTTTATTTTTATCGAAGTTGGTGAGCGAGGTGTTAAATTTGGGCATGTTGATGATCCAAGGAGGAGATATAGGGGGATAAAGAGGAAGGATATTTGTGAGAGAGATATCATTAAGTGTCTGTGCTAAAATTAGTGGAATATGTTTTATTGGTGGTAAGTAATTGGTATTGTGTAAATTATACGTGGATATTAAAAATAAGGGATGCACTAGATTAGAGGGGTTAGCTGATACCGATGCTACATAAGAGAGTAGCAGTTGTTTTCGTCTTATACAAAGAGGAGGTTCGTTAGCTTCGTAATAAAGATTATCTACAGGACTAGATCGAAAAGCGCCAATACAAAGGTGAAGGGCTGTGTTGTGAATTGAGTTTAGAAGGTTAGTATATGTTTTGGAGGCGGATATATATATATATATATATATATATATATATATATATATATATATATATATATATATATATATATATATATATATATATATGTTCGGAAAGATTTCCGCGGTTAGTACAATAAAACCTAGAGCTAAGATTAATATTATTACTAAAATTAATATTAAACTCACCAGTCTTCCGGGTTGAACCGCGTCGTAATCCATTTTGCCAAGCTTTCGGCATCCTCTCTGATGCCTTCCTCAGGGCTTCCGAGGTCTCAGTCTCCCGAGCCCCCAGACACTACTACACTGTTCACTATTTACGTATTTAGTAGTGTTCGTGCCGTGAATAGTGAACAGTGTAGTAATGTCTGGGGGCTCGGGAGACTGAGACCTCGGAAGCCCTGAGGAAGGCATCAGAGAGGATGCCGAAAGCTTGGCAAAATGGATTACGACGCGGTTCAACCCGGAAGACTGGTGAGTTTAATATTAATTTTAGTAATAATATTATTCTTAGCTCTAGGTTTTATATATATATATATATATATATATATATATATATGACAACCATAATCTAGCTTGGAACGTATTAGTGATCTGTATATTTTAAGAAGTGGGTTTTCGTCAGATCCCCAATAATGATGTGATAGAGTTTTTTTATGTTAAGTCTTTTGCACGTTTCTCCTTTTATTGCAAATATATGTTGCTTCCAAGTTAGTCGTGAGTCAAACGTTACTCCGAGAATTTTGCATTGTTTAACACCCTTAACAATTTAAAAAACATGATATGGAAATAAATAGTAGAAGTCATGTAATAAAATTCTAGAATTTTAATAAATGTATTATCTTTTTTAATGTTTTTATTTTTGATTTTTTTTAATTTCTCGGGTTTTGCTTGAAAACAGAAATTTATCGGTTTTTGCCTGAAAGATCTTTGCAAGAGCATGATATTTTTGTTGCTAATAAAAGAAAATAAATGAACTATAAGAAAAACTTATAGAATGAACTTATAGAATGTAGAAAATTATTTTTTTTTGTAAGTATTTAACAATTTGAACAAAGTAAAATCAAATTTGAAGCTTTGGTTCCTCTTCCAGGCAGTCACATGTCTCCTCTTCCTCTTCATCCTCATCCTTTTCATTCCCGGTACCAGTCAAGTTCTTGTAATTTCTCTCAATATTTATCGAACTGTTAATTTAATAAGTGTTTAAGGATTTTTTTCTTTTCGGGGATACCCCCGAAAATTTTCCAACCCACTGGTAAAATAGTAGTTTTGGAATGAACGTATTTTTATGAATTTGCCATTTTTAAATTTTTTTATTACAATTTTCTTTGTATCAGCTAGAGCTTTCACTTTTTTCAAGCCAACTTGAAGCTCTTTCATATTAAATAATCTCCAATCAGTGCCTAACTTACCACCTCCAATTTGTTTGTAAATTTCTTCATATTTTTCTGTAGAGAGAATTGTGGCTTTTTTTTCTTAGAAGATTTTCTACTCTCCCAAATACCCCGTCTACTGGCAAATACGAATAGCCCCTGACATAAATACAAGTAATATTTCTGTAACTTGAACTGCAGCTTTATATATAAGCCAGAAGTACAGCAAATGAATAATATGGGAGCTTTTGGGATTTTGTCCACTGCATCCATCGCAAAAGAGGCGAAGTGTCGTAATATTTTTGTACTTTTAAGAATCCAAATAATGTACAAGTGCAAAACCTATTTCAATTGATTCCCTACCTGCCTGATCTTTAGTCCACGTAAATAAAGTTGGATGTTTGGACTGGCTACCAACGCAGCAAAAAACATACATGCTAATCTGATGTACATAAAACGCATCATTAATAGATGTTTTGGGCAAAGGCTGCACCTGCTGCGTATCAAAGAAGAATGTACCTAATAGAATTTTTAGGAGTTTCTTTTAGCAGGCTATAAAAAGCATTAGCCCTCTTTTGGTGGATACTCAATTCGGTACGAAACTCTCTTTTCTTTACTCCGGTAACTTCCATATCAATTTTGAATTCTGGTCTAGCACATTGTGCGTTTACATCTGATGCTGGAGTAGAAAACCCAATGTTAAAATCATTAACGAATATCCTCCTAAACATCGAAAAGTTTACATTATGTTCAGGGTAGCATTGAGTAAGGTGCATGTCATGTAATTTCTTTATTCCTAGATCAGTGGCGAATTAAATTCGTCTTGCTTTCTTTCGATTATAATGACTTTCTCTTCCTTGTAGTTTACTAACTCTTTTATTTAATTCTTTTTGACAACAGATTTTGTGGACACGTGATCTCCACCCCGATTTTCGTTTGGGATATTTCCATGTAACAATGTTTTAGCAACTATAGATCTTTTTTAATATTCACACATTTCAAGAAAAATGCCTGGCATACTTGAACTTTTTTCTTGCTAACTCTTTTCGACAAGAAGTAGTGTACAGAAAAGTTACGCCCCTTGACTGCTTGTTTTGTTGTCGATCTTCTCCTTTCAATTGGAACTAAAGTTTTCCAAACGAGGATCGCTATCACGATATCTAAAGCAAAAAATGGGTTAGGTAACGAACTTAAACGAAAATCTTAATTTATTTTGACCTATTACCTTTGCCTTTGCAATTTCTGCCTGTTGGTCTCACTTTTCTGTTTTTTTCTATTTCCTATACTAATTTCCAACACACTTGCTTTCATTGTTAAAACTTAATATAATTATGTTAAACAACAGCTTAATACGTAATTCATAAACAGCATAACATAACCTCTTAATCCTTTCCCACTTAATTCCGAAAACATGATTAAGGTAACACAGTCCTTTCGTTTTTAGTTTACAAAGTACTACCATAGGAAAATAAGTATACTTCTTTGTTTATGCTACTACTATAAAACGAATCCCAAAACAGTATAAAGAAACCTGCTATAAGTACGCACGATATAATGGATTTACATTGTAACTTCGGAAATCTTTTTTGGATGGTGCTAGAAAGATAACCAATGGAGACACTGCGGACGGCAGCCAGATGGTTGGTGGAGAGCGAGTCGTGGGCTCGAAACTAGCTTTTGGAACCAGGAATGGATCCAACGGAAAAAATAGGTAAAGATAGGATAAGAGACATTAGAAAAGATACAGAAATAAACAAAAAGATAGATGGGTAAAATTACCAAAAATAAGAGAAGATAGAAACAGGGCGCCACTCAATTTTTTTGGGGTTAAGGAGAAAATTAAGAAAACCTTAGAAAAGAAAAGAGATAAGAAAAGATATTTAGGTTCAGAGATCAAACCCAAGGAAAGATACCAACAGTAAATTATTTATCAAATAAATCTGGTCAACGCAATATATAAAAAAATAATAAATATATTAAGTATTACACTTACTTACCTACGGAACTTAATCAGCCTGATCTTTCTACAGTTCAAAAGCATAGTAATATTTAAAGATAGTAATTGTTCAGAGCTGGAAGGAAGGCAATTACAATGGTATGGTCACGTGATGAGAATGGAGGAGGAGCGGTGGCCAAAGAAAGCCTTAATGTATGTTCCGCCAGAAAGAAGGAAAAGGGGAAGACCACCAAATTCCTGGAGAAGAGAAATTACAAAAACAATGCGATCTAGAGGCTTAGAAGAGGGAGATTGGGGAGATAGGAAAAGATGGAGGCTGAAATGCGGGAAGCGGCAATCGCCGTAGGACCCCCGTTATATGATGATGAATTGTTCAGAGCTATTATTTTATCAGGGAACTTGTTAGGAGCCGACAAATAAAATACATGCATAAAACAATAACAATATATTAAACACAAAATTATGATGCTGCTAAATGCAACACAGGTAACAAAAATTCACAACTATGAAATGGTGTTATATATGTATAAAATTAAGCTATAATGTAATAAAAAAATACCTTTACCAAGATATATAAGGCAATCATATACAATTATAGTTTGGCGTATCTCGAGATATCATAGGAAAGATAATAAACAAAAATTATAGGAAATACAAAAAGATAGCAAACATTACTTAACTCTAAATTTACAAAAAAAAAACAAAAAGGTTACAAGAATGAAAACATAAATCAAACCGCACTTGGCTAAGTCAATTAACTATCTCGCACTATTATTTAATAAAAAACTCAGACTTATATGTTCATAGGTAATATTTATAGAAATTTCTTGAATGGTTCAATTACATTCAAAAATCGGCAATCTTCAGGTGAAGATATAGATGATACGTCCAGATAATGGCAGGTGATATGGTACCATACCATATTACTCGCCCAGATAATTGTAGATAAAATTACTTACAGTAGATCTTAACGAAGGCAGCTTAATTCACTGAATTTAATACTTTTCTGGTACTAAACACTGAATTTAATAACCATTAAAGGTAGTGTAGAACTATATATAATTTAATATAGTCCAAGGAAAGAAAACTCAAATATAAAGTGTATACACACTTAGAAAATAAATCACAAAGACGATACGATAAGAAATAAAGTGAGCAAAGCGTAACACGAGATACTGGCCTTAACTCAACAACGGCCCACCAACAAGTAAGTTGGTTCCACTCAAAATTTTACCAACTGTCCCTGAAAAAGGAAGAAGAAAATATTCCCCCACTCAAGAATGATAGGACAGTTGTATCTGTTTCTCAGAAGGTAAGGCCTTAACGACTATTGGAAACTTTGGGGTAAAATAATCGGTATTAACAATTGGACATAAGAAACAGACAATACTTGGGATTAAGTTATTGTCAAAAGAAACGGGCCTTCGACGAAAATTACCTATTTATGAAAAGGAAACTGCATACCAAAACGCATTATACTCTTTTCATAATGAATATTATGACGGAAGGATTAAAAACCATTCCTAATTAGGGAATTCCATTTTAGCTGGGTATCTACAATAGTTTGCTATCGATACACGATCATAGGCGTATCGCAGGGGTAAAAGGAATTAGAAATATTTAATATATTAATAATAAAAAAAATGTTACAACATCATAGATTGCGAATTAATTATTTAAAGATATATCGGGTTTTGCTTGAAATTTGAATTTATCAGCATTTGCTCGGACTGGTCAACTTTGTACATCATTTTAAATATCGGTTTTTGTTGGAATTTTATATTCTAGAAACAGAGAGGGCTACTAAATTGATATGAATCCTTATTCAGGTTAAAAAATTTTAAAAATGGATTTATCGGTTTTTGCACGTATGCTCCTCAATTGATATTTAACGTTTATATTTGTTAAATCTTTTACACGAAACGAACCAGTAGAGTATACAGTTAAGGCTGACTTTGTTTTGTTTTAAAAGTAAATACAATTGACAGTTTACATTGTACCAACCTTAAGTTGCTGTAAATGACATATTTAAATATTTATTTAATATTTAAATTTTGTTTAGTTGATATATTTCAAAAATTTTTAGAGCAGCTGATATTTTTTAAGACAAAATTTGGTAATTTGCTTAAATTTATTTTGTTTTAGAGAACGAAAAGGATTTGTGGATTTAACATATTTCGTTTTTTCTTTTGCATTTCTGGTATCCAGAATAATTGGCGTTTCTATGTTCGGAGCTTGGTTGTACGAAGAAGCTAAAAAACCCATGGAAATATTATACAACGTACCAACAGAATTTTATTGCACAGAGGTAAATATTAAACGTTGTATTACAGGATTCATTTGTCTACATTATTTCACTCTGCTTCCATCTATCTTATCCTTTTTCACCGGTTATCTTCACCATATATTTCCTATTATTTGTTTACCTGCTGCAATTCAATCACTCTCAAGATGCTTTTTTTATCTCTTCTTAATATGTGTTCATATTATTCTTTTCACTTATTCTCGTATGTCGTGTACCATGGCTGTATTTTCCCTCCATTCTGCGGTTCTATTTTTCTTACCTTCATATTTTTATTTTTGGTGTGTCCTTTTATTTTGCTATGGAAATTTTTGTGTCTGGAGCATACATTAATGTTGGTCTTAATATTATTTTACAAATTTTCATTCTTACATTTTGATTACATTTTTATATATTTAAAGTATGTACTTCCCCTGGCTGTGTGAATCCAGTTTAATTTTTGCCAGTGTTTCCTATTTACTACTGAACACATTCATTGTCAGCTTGTATGGAAAAGTTATCCCCGTGAGCCAGTTCCATTTTTTATATTGCAGCTGTCAGTTTTTTCATAATATCCTCCCAGAGTAATATTTTATTTTAGTTTCTAACAAATTCTATTATAGAAAAAAAAAACGCGCCAGGCTCTTTGGCAGCACTGGATAATGTGAAACTGTAGTGCCGCAGAACGCGCCAGGTGCGGTGAGCGAGAAAAAATATTTTATTGAAATACGTACATACAAATAAAAGGCATCATAGACCGCATGACCAGCACCAAGTTTTTCTTCTAATAAACATAGAACCATCTTTTCAGTATGTTCTTCGGCTCACATAGTGAGTACAGCTTTACACCAAACTGGTGTCGTTTCCGCTTGATGTATTGCTGAAATTTTAAGCGGCCTCTCCACAGGATCGTGAATTCATTCAATGAGGGTTCGTTATTGGCAACTGGGATTGGGAACTGCATTAATTTTATCATTAAAAAAATCAATCAATGGCTGGATTTTTCCGATTTGGATGGATAAAATGAGAAGAAATCTGTTTCGGCTCATAAAGCTTGAAATTGCAGTTAAATTAAAGAGATATTACTTCTTCCAATAATCCAAAGTCAATTTACTCGAATTCTTTACATATGAAACAAAAAAACTTTAATTCATCCACATTTATATCTTTCCAAGATGCAATTCTTGATTTAACTCCGAAACTTTCACACAATAGTTCGACAGCGTGGGCATTTGCTTTAATACAAAGATCATTGCAAAAATCTGTAGTTGCTAACAAGTGAAAATAATCGATTGGCTCCATTCCATTTATGTTAAAAAGTAGGCCAGGAATTTTATTGAAATTAAAACTAACCTTTTGGGGCTCAGTGAATGACCACTCAGTCGAATTTTGGATCTGTAAGACTGATGGTATCGGCGGAGATGGAGAAGGATTAACTCGAGGAAGAACTGAATTTTGACAGTTATAACTACCTGAAGATTCATCACTAGAACCTTCGTCAATATATTCTGGATCATCTTCAGCATCAGACTCTTCTAAAAGTTGCAGAAGTTCTTGATCAGACAATGGCTTTCTCTGCCAAGCTTGATCACGCTTTGCAATTTTTTGAATACCTACTTTATACTAAAACAAATCCTAGTCAGGAGTTAATGAACGCACCTGGCGCGTTTACATTATATGCAGGTTACTACTTTATGTAATTTTAGCTCAAAATCCTTCCTTCAAACGAGTCACCTAAATTACGTAAGCACACACACACACACACACACACACACACACACACACACACACACACACACACACACACTTGGAACCAACTTTCTCTCGTCACCACATTAACATAACACACTTGGAACCAACTTTCTCTCGTCACCACATTAACATATACTAAACATCCAACACAATAAAACTCATTGCAATAATGAAGCCAAATAAATACTGACCAATGAATATATTGGTAAATGAATATATTTTGCTTTTATCAGTTACTTTTAGTTCTCATATTTCTTCTTTTTGCAGCCCATTGTGGATCCTGGCTTGCTCAAGGACTTTTTTCCATTCTTCTCTATTCAAAGCACGCGTCATCTCTAGTGCTCTTAAACCTTTCTTTTACTATATTACCCTCTCGACTTAGTATTGGCAATTTCTTGGAATATAAATTAGATGTTCTTTTCTCATCTGTCAATATGTTTATCAGTTGCATATTCTATTAATATCGTTCTTACTATTATTTTTCAATAAATTAAATCTTAATACAATGTCTTACTCTTGTCAATGAGATACATTTTGTAAGAGATCATAATTCTTTTTGATTAATGTCTGATCCCTTACTTTATGAGTTTTCTTCATACTCCATCATGTTTAAATATTTTCTTATTTTTTAATTAATCTGTTTTCGTGTTGTATTCCTTTTCTTCTTCGATGGACCACGCATCAAAAACAGATTACAAATGAAAAGATCAATCTTCACTATTAAGAATAAGTTACAAATATCACACTTTCTTTAACATGTAATTTACATTTTTTAAAAGGTACAGATATTCTATTCAATTCTTTTGTATTTATTTTAGATTGGAAGATTAATAGAACAGATCTACATAAGTCCTATTGGTATAACCGGATTAAGATTTTTTATGGTCACTAGAAATTTTATGTTACAGGTTGGTTTAAAATAGTTACAATATCTTTGTAGATTATGTCACAAAATAACTGTCTGTTGTTAACTGTTAACTAGAGAAAACAATTGGGCGTCCCCTGGAAACGAGTAGGTAGTGTCGACTAATCCTTTCAACACAGGTGCACCAACACTGATGCAAACTCAATTAAAACGGTCTTTATTAATTTACTTTATTAATCAATTAATATTGAAGACCTATCATCAGATATCCAGGAGCGGACATTGAATCTGACCACATACCTTTAGTGGGAGTCATGGACGTGAGACTGAAGACAATAAAGGAAAAGTCTAGACCTAACTACGACATGACTAACCCTTTAACATCCGGAAGTTAAAAAGCAAGTGGGGGAATATATTAACAACCAAGTTAAACAACTAAAAGAAGAAAATAACATCCAACGAGAAATCAATCAATTCGAAGAAATAATTAAGAAAACTAAACAAGATCTGCTAAAACCAAACAAAGAAACAAAGAAGAAATCTTGGATGACTCCAGAAATCCTTCATTTAATGGAACGCAGAAGGTTAATTAAAGGAAATAAAGATGAGTATAAAAAAATGCAGGCTTACATCAGAAGAAAAATAAGAGAAGCTAAAGAAAAAGAAGCTGTAGAGAAATGTAAAGAAATAGAAAGACTACAAGCCAAGCATGACAATTTTAATGTACACAAAAAGGTAAAAGAAATAACGGGTACTTTTAAAAAGCGAACACAAATGAAACTCATAGACACCAATGGAAAATTAATCATTGACACCCAAGAGATGAAAGACAGATGGAGAATATATTTGGAGACACTTTTTCAAGACCAAAGAACGGATTATAGGCATCCATTTTCAGAGAGGATGACGGGCTCGGACATACTTAAATCCGAGGTAGAAGAAGCAATAAAACGGATGGAAAGCAGGAAAGCTGTAGGGCCTGATAATATCGAAGCTGAATTTTTAAAACTCTTGGAGGAAGAAGGAATAATTTGGATCACGGCTGTCTTCAATAAAATTTACAATACAGGAATCATCCCTGATAAATGGCTAGAATCAGAATTCATAGCGATACCTAAAAAACAGGGGGCTAAAAAGTGCGAAGAATATCGAACAATCAGCCTAATGAGCCACATGTTGAAACTGTTTCTTAGAGTCATCCATGGAAGAATTTATAAGAAGTGCGAGGAACAAATATCGGACAGACAGTTCGGCTTCATTAACGCAGTGGGTACCAGAGAGGCACTTTTCGGAGTACAGGTACTGATTCAAAGATGCAGGGACGTTAACTGCGACGTATACGCGTGCTTGATCGACTACGAAAAGGCATTTGACAGAGTTCAACATCAAAAGATGATAAACATTTTAAAAGAGGCAGACCTGGATGACAAAGGCCTCAGAATAATTTCAGAACTCTACTGGAATCAGACCGCATACATGAAAATTAACGGAGAAGAAACAGATCACAGAAAAATACTACGTGGAGTTAGACAGGGATGTATCCTATCGCCGTTGATATTTAATATGTACTCAGAAAAAATTGTTAACGAGGCTCTTTACGGAATAGACGAAGGCATCCTTCTAAATGGTGAAAGAGTAGACAATGTTAGATATGCCGACGACACCATGGTGATAGCAGATAGTTTAGAGGAACTTCAGAGGCTAATGAACAGAATAAACGAGTACAGTCAACAGTACGGATTAAACATTAATACCCACAAAACGAAACAAATGATTATCAGCAAGGAGAATATAAATGGGGCTCATATATACATTAATGGGACGCAGATAGAGCCAGTAAAACAGTATTGTTACTTACGAACTATTATTAACGAACAGTGGAGCAATTTACAGGAAATAAAGTGCCGCATAGGAAAGGCAAGAACGGTCTTTAACAAAATGAGCGCCATCTTCAAAAGTCACAACATATCCCTTGACACAAAAATGAGACATTTGAGATGCTATGTTTTCTCTGTGTTGTTGTACGGGGCGGAGGCATGGACGCTTACAGACGCTACTATTAAAAAACTTGAAGCATTTGAGATGTGGCTTTATAGAAGAATGCTGAGAATATCATGGACAGCAAGGATCACGAACAAGGAAGTTCTAGGAAAAATGAAGAAGGAACCAGAGATTGTGTTTACGATCAAACGCATAAAATTGCAATATCTGGGACACGTTATGAGAAATCAGCACCGTTACTCCCTGCTACAGTCTATATTGCAAGGTAAAGTCAAAGGTAAGCGAGGACCCGGTAGAAGGAGAATATCATGGCTGCGGAATTTAAGAACAGCAAGGTTATGATTGCCAATATGATTTCCAACATCCCAAACGGATAGGAACCAGAAGAAGAATTATCAGATAGCGAAGGTTGATTATCTGGTTTGAGCAGAGACCATGGTGTCGATGTCATGCTGCTTCAAGCAATTCATCGAGGTAGATACTGCATACCGCAGACCAAATATTTGTGGTATGAAGCTTTTATTAGAGAGACCACAGAATATGGTATGATGGCGTAGTCACTGTCAAACTAGATATCGATGTAGCTTCTACATCTTTAACAAATCGAGTTGATATCGAGATTCTCACAGTGAAGTTAAACTACGGTAACATCCATCTATAAACCGCCAAATACTGACTTTTTCTTGGAAGAACCGGATAACTCTCATTGAAAGCCAATAAATTTCGTACTGCAGTCGAGTATTTGCTGAAAATGGACCACCTGATTTGCAGATGACATTATACATTATAGACTTATGTGGATGATAAACACATCTAATCACTTAATATCGGAATGAATAAAATGGATTTCGCCCTAATCGCTCTGGAATTGATAATATCTTGGGCTTGGAAAGTGACTTCCACGAAGCGCTAGCAACAAATTGTACTAATATGGATAAGTCCTTATACTTGCTATTGCTAGTGCAATATTATTTGCTATTTAATTTCTTCTTTATTTAGTTTTTTTACTATGAAAAGTCACATCCAAATTGATGTTTAATTAACAAACTAATTTTCAGATGGCTGGAACTATAGTGACACTAGAACTGATGCTATTTCAGTTTGCACCAATAGACTCAACACTTCGATCTTCCAATCGATCTGACTCGTGTATTTAGTTATATCACCCAATATTTTGTACAATCCTGTTTGAGAAGAAAATATTAGAATAAACAAAAGCCACAGTTTGTTGTAAAAATATAAACTATTAATTAAAATACAGAAAATATAAATAAATATTACAGTATTATATTATAAAATAATAAACCATTTAATAATAGCTCTAAAATATTATTTTAAAACATAGGAATAATGCATCATATCCCGACAACAAGTCACTAACTGACATTTTGTGAAAAAACTCATTAACTTCGCCGATCGAATGAAATCAATTATATCTTTTTATTTTAAAAGTCACTACTTGCTGAATGTGTTACTAAATGGCTATTTTAGTGTGTTAAAAAATCACTACCCTGTTAATATAGAAAATATGAAGCAGCCAAAAATACCTAAGTAACTTAGTAACTTTTACAAACGAATAAATTGTTGAGATATGCGTTAAAACTCATTAATGGCACTTACTGACTTTTTCCAGAATAATAATCCACTGCTGAGTTTGTTTTACACTTGAACAGCTTATTTCAGAAAGGGACCTAAGTCAGTTTTTTGTGATTTTGTGTTAGGATCCATTCAATATAATGATAGATATATCGTTTGTAGTAGAAAGGCGCCCGATTTATTTTTGTTATTATTATTGTTTACTACAAAAAAGGACCCAAGTCAGTGACTAAGGTACTTTTCTGCACTAAAGTAGCAAGTTGGCAAACCTGCATCTTGTCTACTCCACCTGATATTATTGTTGTTTCAGGTTGTGCTGCAGTGTGGAATACTATTTATTGGGAACTATTAGGAAGGTAATTATTGTTAATTAGAGGTGATATTTGTTAATTTGAAAACATTTAAGTTGTTTTCAAGAATGAGTGATAGTGACAATAACACGCATTCATGATGCCTGAAACAGAAACTTAGAAAAGGTGTTGTTAATGTAGAACAACATAAAAGAAACGTTGTAAAACGTGCTCGTGTTTCTGGACAAGAATACATTGATTGTGGTGGGAAACCAAAACAAGCGAAAAGAAACAGATAATCTTGCAGTTAAAATTCTTTATAATCTAATATTCAATGTTATCAAAGTTGTCAGAGTTTGTTGTGTTTTCACAGAAAGTGTTTTCACGCCACGAGTGTCTTCTCCTGCCTGACCCTCACTTACTGTCTATTTTTCCCTGGACAATCAATTGTATCGTGTCTCAATATATGGCCTAGATATTCAAGCTTTCTTTGTTTAATTGTATTCACGATTTCTTTCTCCTTTCCGATTCTTTGGAGTACCTCTATGTTGGTGACATGTTCGGTCCAGGATATACGAAGAATGCGTCGGTACACCCACATTTAGAATGCTTCTAGTTTTCTCGTTGGCGTCTCCGTCAGCGTCCAGGCCTCCACGCCATACAGCAAGATCGAAAAAATGTAGCATTTAACTAGACGTAGTTTTAGGGGAAGAGACAAATCCTTGCTTATGAGGAGCTTTTTCATATTGCTAAATGCTGCTCTAGCTCGAAGAAAAAATAGAATAGCTACGAGGAAAAAATAGAAGTGGTAATAAAATGTGTGAAAGTGAAACTGCCAAGGTACACAATCATATTAGTTCCTTTCCAAACCAAGAAGGGCATTATAAAGATGTTTTGTACCTAAGTAAATCTTTGTCAATTATCAAAACAAAATGTTTTACCAAAAGTTCCAGTGCAAGAGATGTACCTACTACCTTCGACAGTTGATTGTGAACAATTTTTGTGTTTATAATTTAAAAACTGATAATACTCAGTTTTACTTATATCACGAAGGCCAAACAAAAAAAGGAACAAATTCTGTAGCTTCTTTTCTTGTAGACTACATTGAAGAAAATGTTCTAGATTCAGTAACTGAACTTCATTTATTTTCTGATAATTGTCCGGGTCAGAATAAAAACCATACTTTGGTTCGGGTCCTCTTAACTCTTACTATCAACGGCCGGTTCAAAACAATTAAACATTTCTTCCCTCTTAGAGTGCATTCATTCTTGTCCTGTGATACAAAATTTAGCATCATAAAACGCCCTATTAGACATTGCAGCCGAATATACACGATATATAAGCTGTGTGAATTGATTTGCTCTGCTAACCGCAAATCTAAAAATACTGTCAAACTTATAGACACAGCAAGACACATCCATTTTGATAATTGGTGGCCTCACGTATACAAGAAGGATGTCTGTTCGACTAAGAGAGAGAGAGTTCTCATGGAGAGAGCGAGAATATTTCAATACGTCAAAGTATCATTACTACTATAGTAATTTCAATGTTCGTATAGTAAAGTTGACCCACAAACCATTCAGCTTCCGAAAGCACAAGCTTATACTTCTCGAATGCTACCTTTAAGGAAAGAAAAAATTGAGGACCTTAAGAAAGCTGTAAAGTACGTTCCCCATGAATTTGAAGATTTCTATGTAGATATAATTTTTTCAGAGCTCAATCATTAGAAACTAAGTGTTGATAGTAACTTATAGCAATGTTTAGTGTTTTAGCAATATATGCTGCAATGTGTTATAATGTGAAACATGAAAATAAAGTTTTTAATGGATGGAGTCTGTAATTTCATTGCTGAAAGGTACCTGAAACCTGAAAGTTTATGAAAAAACAAAAATTTGTAATTTTTTTACAAATGAACAATATTATTAAATTGACTCGAATCTCTTTCTGAAATAAGCTGTTCATTTTTATTTCTCAGTTATTGATAGTTAGTCTCAGTTAGTGAGTGAACACGTATTATTTCGCTAAAAAATATTCCTTGGTGACGTTTCTTGTTAAAAATTGTTACACCAACTGATTGTTGAAGTTTAATAGGTAAAAAATGCGTTCCCGATCCTTAAAACTGGTACAACTTGCCTTGATTGACGTAAGTAAGTACCTACAATATTATTTATAACCTCACTTAGTTTCAAAAACAACAAGCAACAACAAGTAACAAATATTTGTAGGATGAATTCGAAGACGACTCCGTTAAAGGTAAGGACCGGGTTCAATTTGATATCTCAGAAAGTAGTAATGAGTCTATGCAGTATGAAGAATTAACTAATATAAAAGAAACAAGCGACATCTATAATTCTGTTCTGGGCATAAAAATCATGTTAAAAAACTTTAAACAGCTATTGGCGACGTGCAAGTACTTGGATGTGATACGAGAAACGATCGTGCGCGAGTAGCGGAGAAATCTTGCATTTTTTACTGCACATTTCATAAATTCATATTTCATATATTTATTTACGCCTTCTGTCACTGAAGAAAATGGGATTTAGGAAATGCTGTGTTATAAATTGTAAAAATACAACAAAAAATTGTCAATTTAAGTTTTATTCGTTTCCAACTTCGAAGCACAAATTACTACAAAGAGAAAAGTGGATTTATATCATAAAAAAGCATAAGTAACATAACCTAAATTATACATTATTTTTGCGCCCGATTTTAAAGTCAGTTTGAAATAAATAAAAGTTCACTTTTAAGTGTAAATTTTAGTTTCATAACACTCACTTAGAGTTCATTTTAACCCAAAAATCAAGTTTAATGTTTAAATTTTATTTTTTTGAAGTTTACAAAAATGCATCAAGTTCAAGTTTTTCTGAAGATGCATTAAGATTTATTCGCTGTCCAAAAGTTTACAGGGAAAAAATTAATTGTTCAAACCAATATGATAATCATGGGCTCAACCTGCTAATTTATGCATTAGCATTATTTATGGTAATTTATTTTTCTTAATTCTTGCATTCTATTTTGATATTTGCCACTACTAAAGCTTTTCCCTTTGACTCAGTGCTTGGTTGAAAAGTTATTTGGTGATTTACTTTCTCAAATCCAGTTTTTATTATTGCATCCATATTAACAGTAATGATGTAATTTAATAATATAGTTATTTGTATTTACAGTTTACACTACATACAACGTTTACCTTTTAATAACATACCGACATAACCTTAATCTTACTTTTTCTTCTTATTCTTTTTTGGGGCTACGTCCTTGACAGTTATCCGGTAACCTCGATCAAACATGAAAGCGCAGTAAATTTTGCTGATTTACGACACCAGGTGTCGCTGTTTCGAACTTGCACGGACCCAATACTGTAAAATTGAGTTTTTTATATAGTGCCTCTTTTGATTTCAATGCACGATATATATATATATATATATATAGTATATATATATATATATATATATATATATATATATATATATATATATATATATATATATATATATACAGACGGATGCTGAAAATTCCATTGATACAAAAAGTTACCAATGGTGGAGTACTTCGGCGTATGAGTAAACAAAAAGAGTTACTCAGCATAATCAAAGACAGAAAAATACAATACTTGGATCATGGGTTGAGACGTGAAAGATATGAATTACTCCGAATCATATTGCAAGGTAAAGTGCAGAGCAAAAGATAAGTTGGAAGATGTTAGAACTCGTGCCTGAAAGACCTGAGGAGAAAGCCATCCACAGAAATCTTTCATGCAGTAAGTTTCAAAGCTACAATTGCCATTTGGACCGTCCACCTTCGAAACGAGACAGCGTAATAAGAAGAACAGCCTCGTAATAATATTATTCCAAGATAAATTTTTTGGCAATAAAAAGAACAAAACACACTTAATACACCTTTTTAAAACTCCTCTATCAGATGTGGGTTTTAGTATGGATCAGGCTAAATTTCATGCAGATATACAGTTATCATCTCCGTGACTGGCTAGCACAGGGCATTGACATTTTTGTCTTACTCACGGTATTAGGAAGGGTGCAGTCCAATGTTGTGTTTCTAAAGTGTCTAATTTTTTCAAACCTTCAAAGGGGTGCAAGTCGCATTAATTATTGCAGAGAATTTGCTGTTTCTCCATGCTTTTTTGGGATGCTATACATTATATTATGAGTAGCTTACAAGAGAGGCAAACTTAAATTCATCCTGAGTTGTGCGGAACATGATTATTTCTCAGTGAAAAAGCCGAGCCATCTTTGTTCACTATCGTTAGAGAACGTTTTTTCGTATCTTTGGGGCGATTGGTGTCACGAGATTCGAAAAAAAAACAGTAATAAAGTAATATATTATATAATAAATTTCATAAACTAAATAATAGTAAACATAAAAATAGTTTTCATACTGTGAACTTAAAAAAACCTTTTTTATTTTTTATTTTTTTTTTCTATTTTTATTTTTAGATACGAAAAATTTAAAAATCAACAGTAAGAATTACAAAAAATATTTGATCCAAATTTGTAGGGGAAAGTCTACTTCTTCTCAGGTTTGATAATTATCCTGCTTTTGAAAAGACTCGTTCAAAAGGCACAACAGTTCCAGGAATTTACAAATATTTCATAACAACGACACTATAGGGTAATTCTCACCAGATAATAGTCTTGTTATATCATCTGCTCGTTTTAACACCGTTGTACAGTCATTAATAACTTCTCAGTCGTCTGTATTACGAAATTCTGGTGGTTTAGAACAAGTTTGCCACTACAACACACAATGGATTCCTTATGTCCAAAAGTCTTTGGAGCATATAGAAACAAGAATTTCATCTTGTAACAACCGCGTGTTTTACCTTTAGATTAGGTAATACCATCTGTTCTTGAACGGATCTAAGTTTATCGCATGTCAGACTATGTTTAAAATGTAACCTAAAACAATAAAAAATACTATAGATACTATAACGAAAATACAATTTTCACATTTTATAAAAAGTAAAATATTTTAGATACTTAAACCAGTAATGGCCCCCTTCCCCAGATTTATTTCAATTCACTGCTACAGAAAACGGTGAATTAGACAGTGATTTGCTATTACGGAGTTCAGAGATTTCTGAACTCAAGTGTTGGTGTTGAACAATTTTCCAAATTGAGTTAGCGGACGTTAGGAGTTCATCTACAGATAGGGAACCAATAGGGGTTTTAGTGGGAAATCTTGTAGAGATCTATAAAATTTAGAAAACCTTAAGAATATTTTATGCCAAAAATTTTCCTCCGTAGGTTGAGAATCCTTAGTGGTTGGTAAGAAGTGAGATTTTTCTTTTTCTTTCAACTTACCAAAAGAAAAGATTTTTCTTTCTTTCAACTTACCAAAAGAAAAAATCTTTTTCTTTTGGTAAGTTGCCATTCATTAATTTTTTCAGCAATTCAACTGAGCAAGGTTTAGATTGGGGTCTTGCAGAAATGAAGGTCCTGACCACCATAAATCTAACTTTACATTGTTTTGAGATAGTAATCCTCGAGATGGGGAGAGTAAACTATCTCAGAAGTTATATGCATATTGCGTTTTCATCGAAATTATTTGCAAAATAAACATTTAAAAAAGGGGTATGTTTTTTACTCATAAACAATTGTAATAACTTCTATATTTTTCAAGCTACAGACTTGTACGTACAACCACGATACACTTACAACGGTATGCTACGTTTGGAATAAAAACGTGTCTTTGACGCGCAGTTACGTCACGTCGATGCATCGAGCTGTTGTATCTTATGGTGTGAGATAATATTTTCAGTGTTTTGAAATCTATTTCGTGGTTTTTAGTAAATCGTTGTTTGTTGTATGTTTGAATTTGAAAAAAAAACTATTGTTAACTATCCGATAGGTGATTAAAAGTGTGTGTAAATTATTATACCTATTTAAAATGCCGTCGTGTACCGACGGAAAGTACTGGAAATAGAGTTCAATTTAATGCATGGAACGTCACTTTCTAAATAGAAAAAAATATTTTCATTGATAGCTGACCGTACCGTTGCCATGCTTGGTAATGAAGTAATATACCTTATAAAGTCATTTATTGCCTTAGTCGTACCAGAAGCTACATACAGTCCGTCCCAAACCCTTCTTTCAGTGCGTCATAGTTGTTCGAATTCTCTCTAACGCATTAAGCTAGAAGTGACAGAAAAAAACGTGAGTCCCTGATTATTATAGAATAGAACTTAGAAAATTAGGTATCGGTCACGGGTATTCGCATATTAGAGCGAATTCTACTTACGAACGTATAATTGGTTGGAGTTTAGAATACGCTAAATAGATATCCAATCAATTATTCATATAAATATAATTTGACACAGATGATCTTGATAATGACAGTGACAGTACTTTCACAATGTCAACTGATAAAATGATAATTGCCGTTCCAGGTTAGTATTTTCAGACATTTTACCTACAGTGAAAATTAAATTTTGTATTTATTGTCATAAAAATATTTTAAATATTCCGAGATATACCGAGAATGAACAAAGACTAATATTAAAATTATTAAATTAGTTTCAATTAGAGAAAGAGGCTGAGTTATCTTTACTATCAGTTTGTGTCGTTCGCGAATCAGATTGTGAATTCCGGAATTATATTGAGAAAATATCTTAAACTAATACCGTTATGGATATTTATTATGTATTAAAACGGTTCTTTTTAGAACCACGACATTTTCTTGAAATGTAAGATATAATTGATACCAGCCACATATCTAGTGTAATCATTGATTTTAAAGAATCAGATTCTGAATGGGATTATGGATTGTTTGAAATATAATATTCATTTTTGTTATTCATAAAAAAGAAGGTAAACATTCATTCGGTATCTTGTTTTTAACTAAACTCCATTAACACGATTTCATCTGGATACCGGAACTGGTAGATTAACTCAAAAATCAACTGCTTCACTATTTAAACTATTTCCACTATTTAATGACAAATCTTCACAAAATTAAACTATTGGGTGCCACAGAAACTTATCAGAAAATTACTTATCCAAATATGACTGATTTAAATCGATGTTATTTTATCACAGGAATGTTTACTTTGATGCCTTGCAATTGCAATTGTCAGTAAATTTTTTACCTTGCAGTCAACTCTTAAAAGATTCTAGGAGGAAGCGTTATTTGAAATAAACAAACCTTCCAATTCCCTAGTGTTTGTAATAAATAATAATAAATCCATAAACAGATCTTAGCTAATTAAGCACTTTCCTTGGAATGTATAAAATAGAACAGAATAGAACAGAATTATGACAAACTGCTATGCATTTAAAAAAAAATAACCTTTTCACATTTAGCCGATTACGATCCTGCAACTGTCAGATTTAACTAAAATGTCATGCAATAATTCTCGACATTGTTTAAATCCTATATGACGTCAAAATTAGTGACGCACTGAAAAAAGGGTTTGGGACAGACTGTAATATTGCGAGAAATTGATATGCAAATTAGTTTTGAAAATTGCATAACTGGAAATAAAAATGTTAAAATTTACAAACCGTAAAAAAATAAATAAGTATCTACGAAGTATTAAAACATTCTGTTAAAGCTCTTTCTATATTGAAATAAATATTCGTAAATTCCAATCACATTGAACACTTTTTTTATTTCATTTTTAAAAATTCTTAAAAATTCAAAAGTATTTTTGTATCTCAATATCGCCGTTTCATTTACAACTGTATTCGATTTGAAAATTGTAAATTAGTAAATCCACAATGGGATAAATTAAAAATAAAAACACTCAATCTAACCAACATCAAATAACTTACGATTTGCATCGATGTGACGTCACTGAAGATGCGCGTCGGCATACCGTTGTAAGTGTATCGTGCGTACAACCATTGGATAGCTGGTAAAAGAACTAACATTAAAATAAAACCTTCTATGACCAATTTACATTAAACTTTACATTAAAACTTATAGCTAAAAAATTCATCCAATTTTTCGAAACTTACAGCCTTTCGAAACGAAGGTACTTTCGAATGATCGACATAGCAAAGTGAAGGGGAAACTGTTTTAGCTCCACGCTCCAAAATTTTGACAGTCTCAGTGTAGTGGCTTTAGAAAGCAATATACTTCTACTTCTTTGCGAAAAATATTTTGTGTATTTTGAACAAATAAGTTTTAACTGAACGTATTTAATTACTTTTTGATTGAAAATTGTAAGTAATATTTAAAACTATTGAATGAATAATTAATTATTTTTAACTTGTATAATCGGTGAAAAATATTATTTATTATAGATTATTTCAAAATAAACGACAGACTGTGGCATTAACTGGTTCAAGCAGTAGTAGTTTCAAAGTAAGTATTTTCCTTTTTAATTTTAGTTTTATAAATGGCTAAATTATTTTTATGTAAGTTAAACCTTTGTTTTGAACTATTTTTATTGCTTTTACTTTATTGTTTATAATCATAATTAAATTTCAACTTAATAAAATAAAAAGTCTTTACAGATTTTAGAAATACGATTATGCTTGTTATAACTTTATATATTTTTAAAAGATTCGTTCTATATAAGCTTGCAATATTCTGATTTTTCATTAATAATAAAAAAATCTTTTTTTTTTATTTATTTTAGAAATCTGAAATAAATTCCCATTCAAAAGGAGCAGATCATTTTTTTACTCTTTTTGTACTCTTTACGAGGTAATTCTTTAAAATGTTTGATCTTTTATTTATAATCACGAGGAAATCTAAATTAATCAACGCAAACTAAGAAACTCTTAGTTCATGTATATTTTCTACGATTCCAACGCAAGTAAAGAAAATATAATAACAATTGGTTGTGAGGTGATTGTGGTTCTCTACTCTACTGCAGTTGATATAAATTATAAAAAAAACACAACAATACACTTTCTTTAAATGATTTAAGATACTTACAATTCAACAGAAATATCGGTAAATTATCTTTTAAACTAGAAACTCTGCCCCTAACCGAAGGTGCAGCCAAACAGTATGTTCTTCTGATTTACTATCAATTACAAATGTGGTTAATTTAATTCCCGAAGATTAAAGCAAATTAAATGCAAATGAACCACAGGTTGCAAAACTACTAGATGTAAACGTGGTTTGAATTGTACAAACTTGTGCATAAATTGTACTGAGGAAGAAGTAGAGGAGAAATATACTGCAACCTCGATACAGTTACGTTTGACGACGACAGTGATTCTGAATATGTATATTTATCATCGAGCAAAAAGATAAAAGAGGGAATGTAAAGGTAGTGGGGACAAAAATATTGTTAGACAGGAAGTGCTATCTTGAGAGGCCACTTTAAACAAGGAAAGACAGTCTCTTTCCTTGTTTAAGAAGTCAAGTTTAGTTTGGTTATGTTATTGTTTGTCCCAACTGTCACATGAAATTTTATTTATATTGAAGTTTTTTACCAATTGTGTCACTTTTTAGACTATTATAGTTAATATTTAATTAAAACTTTCTTGTCTGAAAAATATTTTACAGCTATTGTTAACAAGTGTTGGAAAATTTAAATTTAGCGCCTTTGCATTTCCGGATATGTCCGCCATCAGAGGCCACTTTTTTGGTCTCCTTTTCATAACGATTAGATTCCCTCTTTTATCTTTTTGTTCGATGATATTTATAGACTGACTTATTAAGTGAAGACAAACAACCTGCAACAAAAAGGTTCAGAGCTGACAGTGAAGTCGCATGAATGAACCAAATTTTAACTTTTAAACCAATGTATGCAAAGAAAATAAAAAAAGTAAAGTTCAATAAACATTGCAAAATTTAATGAGACCAGTGATGAAAAAATCGACTTATTTTATCAAAGCAGTAACACAGATTAGATTAATATTGTATATAATATTTGTACGAAAAATAGAATGAAAATCAATATTGTTAATTATTAAAATACAAACAATTATAATTAGTATAAGAAATATAATAATATAATGTGTAAAAAATACCTGAAATTTAATTTATAAAATATATTCAACATTCAACATTTATTCGAGCATTCAACCTCATTTCATTTAAATATATAAGTATTATTACATCATTGATAATATAAAATGAAAAAAAATATATATGACTTTCCGTAATACAGGGGGGGGGGGAGATTGTGAAAATCATTATTATATTAATACGGCGACAGACTAATTCCAGATTAAGTAAGTTTATTTTTCCGAGGTTTCCCATATTTTCCGGCCAGTGAAAACTATGTATTTATTCATATTTCGACGAGCTACCCCAAAATAAAAAAAAGAGTCTTCTAGCTGGAATGAAAGCCGAGATAATTTAAATTTTTCCTATGAGTTTTAATTTGAAGTTCCGATGTCGAAAAAAAAAAACGGAGCTGAAACAGTTGTCCTCTCCACTTTCCTATGTCGATCTTTCGAAAGTACCTTCGTTTCGAAGGGCTGTAAGTTTCGAAAAATTAGATGAATTTTATATCTATAAGTTTCAATACAAAGTTTAGATTTTGATTCAAAATTTGTGTAAATTTTACTTCTTAATATTTATAAACAATGGAGATATGTTTTTTTTAAAAACAGTCGTTAACTTCGTTCCTATTGGTCAAAGGTTTTTTATTTTTTAGTGTGAGTTTTTTTACCAGCTATTCAATTTTTGTACGTACAAGTCTGTAGCTTGAAAAATATAGAAGTTATAACAATTGTTTTTTTTTATTATTATTAACGCATCAACCACGCAGGGTCATTAGCGTATTTAGATTATGTAACATATGTGACAGTTGATACAATATGTGAATATACATTAGTTTACAATAATTATAATAATAGTAATAATATGTATGTGTATTAAAATGTACGTTTTAGACCTTTGAAGAAGTTGACAGTCTGTAATATAGGAAAATATTTTTCGGTTATCTGTATTTTCTTCTAGGGCATCTCTAGGGAGTTGGGTATGCTATAGTCGTTGGGTGAGTCGTTTACTGTTATATTTGGGACACTGTATTAAAAAATGTTTTACCGTTAGAACACTGTTGCACACTTCAAACACTGGTTTGTTTTTGCGCTGTAATAAATAGTCATGAGTAAGTCGTGTATGGCCGATACGGAGACGGGTAAGTATCACTTGCTCTCTTCTGTCTTTTATTGTTGGTTTCCAAAGATGTGGGTGTTTGTTGACTTCGTATAGCCTTGATGGAGTGTTGTTCCAAGTTTGTTGCCATCTTTGAATTATTTTTTGTTTTAAGTATGGTTTTAAATCGTTTTGTACCAATATGTTACTTTCTTCGGACATCGGGTTAGTTGGTGCGTTTTCAGCTAGTTTATCTACAGCTTTGTTACCTTCAATTCCTACATGAGAAGGCACCCATAAAAAGTGCACTTGGATGTTCTTATTAGAAATGTTTTTAAGTTCTTTTTTAATAAGAAGTAGAAGGGGATAACAATTGTTTATAAGTAAATAACATACCCCTTTTTCAAACGTTTATTTTGTAAATAATTTCGATGAAAACGCAATATGCATCTAACTTCTGAGCTAGTTTAAGTCTTAAAGAATCCTATGAAATTTACTAAATGTGTCTAGCATCATTCGTAGAGCAAGTTCAATAGTTTAAATAATTAGTCTCAGGGATAAACAAATTAAATAACTTTTAAACTATTTGACCGATCGGGGAGAAATTTAGCACAAATATAAAAGACGGTAAGTCCTCGATGTTCAAATGTATTAACATTTTATTTTGTTAATAAAAAAATTAAATAAATTTATAAATTCGTGCAAAAAACTGCTTTTTTGCAAATATCTCCGTAAATTATTTATCAATTTTAATTGAAAAAAACGCTAAAATAAAGATATTCTTGATATAAATATTGTTTATTTAAAATATAAGGGAAAAAACTTATAGACAAAAAATCAAATTATGACCATAAATTATTGTTTTAAAAATGCGCAAGGTAAAAATAGGAGTATTTGTCATCTAGTATCTCCCACCTATGTCTTAAAAGCTTCAGATATCTGCGAAACATTTTTCCACCTTTTTTTTAACCAGACTGGGCTAAAACTAATGTTTGTTGCAGTCTATATATGTGTATATTATATTATATACCATTTTTATTATTTCGTTAAAATTTTGTTTTCTTCTCATATTGTCTTCTTTTTTCCAGTTTTTTTAGAAGCTACAAAGAAAAAAATCGGTGGCGCCCTGTCCGCAATAAGATTGTGATTTGTTTTTTTCTTCTGCTCATTTAATATTTTTGGTTTAGCTTTATTACCTATTATCTTTTATTCTTTTCTCTGCTTTCTCCACAAATTTACTTTAGTTTGTGTAATAAAGGAAATATCCAAAGAACTACGTCCACATCTCTCCGATTCTGAGCAACGCAGCCTCATTAATTTTGTGTGCCCCAAACATCTCCAGCGTTTGTGTTGCTCCGTTTTTATTAGAAGAATTTAAACTGGGGTTAAATTTAAATTGACATCAGAATATAATTGATTTGAATTGGATCTCCAATTATGTTGATTGCCTTGAGGATAGGTAGTTCTTTGGTCTTGAGGAGATGGGCCTGATTTTGAGATTGATGCGACAAGTTAGTGTTGTGGGTTTTACATACGTTCAAAAGAGTGTGATATTTCATAGAGCAAATTGAGCAATATTTAGAGTATATTTCTTACAGTCATTGTAAGAAACTCCTGTACCCAAGCAATTCGTGCACATGTGAAGAGAATGTGTGAAATTTAATTTAATTAAATCGTTGTGCAATCTCATGCAAAGTCAAATTTTAGACAATGCGGTATTGCAGCGAGGGGAAAGAAGTAGGAGCGTTGTTGCCAAGGTTGAATTAATTGCGAACGAATGTTCGAATGTATCTTAACCTGGACCAAACAGCTCAGGTTCTCTAGCATCTTAAAACCCACCAAATTTCATTTGTCTTATCACAAACGGTTTTAAATCGACATAAAAAATGTCTAGGTGAATTAAATAGATGTCAAGAATTATACAAAGTGGCTCTATCTTCTAAAATAAAAATATTACAACCAGATATTAAAAGAGAAAAATTTTAAAGTATACATAAGTTAGGTGATAGTAGAGTAAATCAAACTATTTTGTATAAAAAACATAATTTTTTATAATATTGCTAAAAATATATTTGCTTACCTTCTTTTAATAAAATTTCAACTCCTTTTCTCATTTATTTTTATGGCTGCTCTATTGAATATTAATACACTTTTTGGTTTTCAAACTTGTCTATTAACCACTTGTCATCTGAACATTTTGTCAGTTTCAATGATAATCTGTTTCCACATATATTTTTCTTAAATCATCTAAAAAGCTGAGCCTATAATGTAAAAACTCCTTCACCATTTTGGCGCTATCACTAAATATTTCAGCATCTTTCAATCTATTGAAATCATAATTGAACCTTTCAAATGTAAAATCTATTAATTTTCCTACAAATAGTGACACACTTTTGTTTAAAAATTGTTCTGGATAACTATCGCTAAAAACTATTGAATTTAGGTTGTTATAGTCAAAAATAGAACCAACAAAAAGAACTGCCTTAAGGTTAAATGATACCCCATCATGTCCGATGTAGAGATTTTCTTGAAGATTATGATTTTTAATAAATTTGTACTTCCTTTCATCTAGGTGAAACTTTAATATATCGATGACTTCTCTTAAAGAGAACCTCACCACATCGTACTGATTTTTGGGAATAAAAAATCCATATTCTGAAAGTAATTTAAAATTATCATGGGAACCATAAGAAATAAATATTTGGTCATGTCTTTTATGTTCAGCAGATGTTCTCAGTTCATATGTTAGGCAATTCACATCAGATCTTATATTAGCTTCAGTTTTTGCTAAATAGTGGTGATTAAACATATCAAGAAATGGACACAAAGCCATAGAAGGTTCATCCAGCAAAGTATTTAAACAGTTGTTAGATATTACATTGGGATCAACATGAACTGCTCTTGTATTAACCATAATGAAGGCCCATTTTAACAAACTTGTTTCAAGGATACAACTGCATACATTAGCAACTCTACAGCAAAAAGTATTAAACATTGTAATATTCTTATCAATATCTGTTTGAAAATCCACTGGAAATAGTTGAATTTCGTCAGACATCGCCAACCAAGGCAGTGAAGGAGTATCTTCTGGTAAACTTTTAATATAGTGGAACCATTTTGAATTACTTCCCTTATTTGTTTCGATAGCTAAAAACAGCGCCAGGTATTCATGTATTGTTAATTTTTCGTTAATTAGTATTTCAGATGCCAGTGTATCATAAGTAATCATTGCATCCAATGGAATAGAAATCAATACTCCATCCGAGGCTATTTTTGTTCCAGAACTTATTCCCCTACCTGTCTGTGGAAACGCTTTTATTCTTAATTTTGTTTTGTTTTTCCAACCTTTTGTAGACATCCATTTTTGAAGATTAACTATTGTGTTGTTGAAGTGCGCATCTATTTTTGTGCTTTGCTTTTTTAATCTTTGGCGTGATGTTCTTCCCATAACTAAAACCAATAAAAAAACACCTAAGTTGGGAATCAATAGAACAAGTACCTAATAAAATAAAATTATCTTATCATATCGAGTCAACTTGTTTCTGTAATCTGTCTACCCAACAGACGGAGTTATCACGTGAATACCATGTGAACTCAAGAAATATTATAATCATTCCTACAAACAGTCAAACTAATAGTCAGAATTCGTGGCAAACAGTTGGTCAGTGAGAGAACAATAATACTGTCATTAGTGCTATCCTCCCTACTCGCGCTGGTCGACTATTCGTTCATAGTTTCGGACGGTTTGGCGGCTTGTTGGAAGAAACCTATTATACCACCACGTTCATTAAACCAGTGACGTACCAGAAAAATAAAATAAAAAGTTATTATACAGACAAAAATTGAAATAAACGATTATTTTATAAAAACATGTTATGTACATCGTAATGAAATAAAAACGTAAATTTCAATAGGATGAATTGGGAGCGTTATAAAAGCTTGAGATACCGCTAAAATGTAAATAACGCAAGCTTGACTGTACGGGAAATATATATATATATATATATATATATATATATATATATATATATATATATATATATATATATATATATATATATATATATATAGTGTTAATTTTAAACAATTTCTAACATTTGGCGTAGAAGTGGACAATACAATTTTAAAATATAACCTAAATCTGACACTATAACTTAAAAAATTTTAATGCAATACAAAAATAATAGTTCCTTAAAAAGTAAACAATAAAACCTGGAAGTGTCTTTAACAAATGGGGAGAAATGGAAATCAAAATACTATAGGCTAACTTTAGGCAATGTGGACATTATACACATGTAAATTTAAATGTGAAGGTGATGGTAGCTTACCCCATTTGTACAACATATACGCACATCGACCATGTTGAGTTGATGCTTTTAAGTGTGCACCAGGTCTTACGTGGTACGTCAAATCCAGGAGGTGTCTCTGTGATACAAGGTATAATTGTATTTGGTTGAGGTTCCGACCATTCATGGATCCATTTGGTGATCATGTTGAACTCTGTAGCTGCAGCTAATTCTGCGGTTTGTATTGGAGATTTTCTTGAGCGCAGTCGACCTTGGTTTGCATCTTTTATATAGTTATGAATCGGCAGCGCCGTATTGCTAAGGATCTTGTTATATTCTTTGGTCAGCAGATTGAGTCGGCGAAGTTGTGATGGTGTAATGTCGCTCACTGATGTCGCTGTGGAGAAACGCAAGCTGGAATACTTCGGTCATATTATGAGACACCCTGAAAAATATGATCTTTTACATCTGATCATTCAGGGAAAGATCCAAGGTAATCGTGGTCCTGGTAGAAGAAGAACATCATGGCTGAAAAATCTAAGGCAATGGTATGGAAAATCAACTACATCGTTATTTAGAGCTGCTGTCAATAAAGTCACGATAGCGAATATGGTAGCCAACATGATATCCAACGATCGATAACGGTCATGGAACTAGAAGAAAGAAGAATGTCGCTCAGCATTGGTAGCCAATGGGTTGGTGTAGGTTTGATTACTCCAGCTATCCTTCTCATGCTGTTATTGAGCTGGATATCAATTTCTTGAACGTGAGTACTGTTGATCCATATTGGTATGCAATATTCAGCTATAGAATAAACAAGAGCTATGCCTGAAGACCTGAGTCTGGATACCGATGCCTCCATTTTGTGCCTCAGAGCTTCTGAATTATGTTATTTTTGCTTTTTAGCTTCTTAGCAATTGTACTTAAATGTTCTCTAAAGCTTACTTGAACTACTTTGTCGGTGAGCATATTTTCTATTAGTCTAGCGGTGAATTTGCAAGGCAGAGTACGTAAGAGTCTATAAATCATTAGTTCTGGTCAGACTGTTTTAAAAACTGCAGATCATTGGGCTGATTCTTTTAAACATTAGTATTTCAAGTAGTTTATACTATAAGATTTATATTATTAGAAATTGGTCGATAGCTCTTGGGTTATCAGCTGGTTTATCTGGCTTTAGTATTGCTATGAATTTTGAATGTTTAAATTCCCGTGGGATTCTGAATGCAATTGAGTATGTATTCGGGGTGGATGCCGTCGAAACCTGGGTCTTTTCCCGGTGAAACGTCTTTAAGGGCGATCTCTATTTCTTCACTTGTTAAAGGGCAAGAATGTTTGATCTCGATTGATTGCGATTTCAAGGAATTTTATTCGCTGTCGAAAGTGAAAGTTTCGGAATCATCATTAAGATTAATAATCAATGGTTCGACGGTGATTTCCATTATTCTATCAGTTTCCCACATTTTTGATACCTCTTTTTAAACGTGCTCAATTGCCTTTTGCCAATTATGTGCTGACACATTTTGCACTGCTCCATAAAAACACTGTTTGACATCAGCAATTTTAAAAGAGGTGTTGTTTCTTGCCACTTCTCCCTTGATTTGGGCCCAGATCAACTCAATTGGGTTAAACTCACAATGGTACGGTGGCAAACGTAAAACATAATGTTCTTTTCTTGCAGCCATTTCGTCTGTAACATACCGCTCAGCTGGTTTATTGGCCTTTACTAATGTTAGTAATTCGGCTTTAACCATATCTTCCGTAAAGACTATGCCGTGTCTATTCAACCATGCTTGTATTTCCGCCTTTTTTGTAGCTGATGCAGGGGATTTATCAATACGTCTACTGTGGTATGAAACGTTGTCCATAACTATTAGAGTTTTTGCTAATTGTGGTAAAATATTTCTGAACCAGTTTTCGAACACCTCAGCATTCATATCTGCATGGTAATCGCCATCCTTTTTTGATTCAAAGACCAACAAACCAGTATTTGCTACAAATCCATCCTCTGATCCAATACATAATATAATTAGATGTTTACCTTTACCAGAGGGAGATTTTAACCCAGTTGACAGACCCTCCAAAAAGGCTTGTCTGGAATTTGTAATATTTTAATCCACCCAGATTTTGTTGGTAGTTTGACCTGCATTTACCCAGCTTTCGTCTAGATAATAAATCTTCCGCCCTTCCTCTCCCAACTTTTTGATTTCGCATAGATACCTACGTCTCCAGGAGATTATTTCATCTTTTTCTGTTAAAATGCTATTCTTTTTTCTGGTTATAAAACTAAAACAAAAAACGTTATGTAATTGATATTGTAATTCATTTGTAACACATTTTTACTTACTGAAAGTTAATTTCCTTAACCAATTTAGCAAATGTTGCTCGTTTGAAATTTGGCAAATTGTCGTTGTTATTAATTTCAGTCAAAATTTTATTCAGCGTTGGAAGTCATTTCTGAAAAAAACTCACGAATTTTTCTCCGAATTGATGTTTTAGTAGCATCTGAAATATTATTTAATATTTTTCTTGCTGTATGATATTTTTTGGCAGAGAAAAAGCACGAGTTTGTCTATATTCCACTAACACTTTAAAAACTGTGCTCACTGCTACCCCTAGAACAAATACACAATATAGTATAACAATATTAGTATTAAAATAAATACAATACAATAAAAAAACTTAACATCTTACCCACTGCACTTGAAACAAAATTCACAGATTCTGTCTGATTCGTGTTTGGACGAGTTTGTCTATCAGTTTTAAAAATATTTAGAATTGTTTCTTTCTCTGATACCGATAAATGTGTTCGTCTTCGTTTTCTGGGTGGAGATCCTGGAACGAATTGTTCAACTTGCGCATTATTTTGCTGTAGGTGATCCATATCTAAAATAGGGCAGTGATATAGATATTTATTTTACAAATTATTTTTACGCTTTGACTAACTTTTTTTAATATATATTCTTTCTTATCAGGGATGCGCCGCCTATATGGGCAAGACAGTGCCTTTTCTGCCCTTTGAGTCAGAAAAGTTAAACAAATATCCAATTCATAAATTTCTTGAAATGTCTAGAAATGATAGCAAAATTTGACCCAGTCATGTCTATACATATTAATAGATCTCCCAAAAAATATGCCACTTTACCTCAGAGATAAAATACGTTAAATTAAAAACTTATGAATTTAGTATTGAATGTTTTGTAACATTTCAGTTATTAGGTGATACATTAGGTTTAACCAACTTTTTGCTGCAAATTTTAGAAAATTATGGTTCAGAAATAATTTATACACATTTATACTGAGTGATTACATCCACAATACTTTTTTGACCAATATCTATATTAGTATATGTACTTACCTAATTTCTTTACAAAACACAATAATGTACAATACACAATATAAGTCTTAACATATAAAATAAATACAATTAACACAATACAAAGCACAATATTTCTTCAAAATACCTTAACTTACGCCCTTGTATACAATATTGATAACTGACCCATACAACTTCTGTGAAGTAAGTAATTTGACTGTCTCTTTTCAACAATCTCATGCAGGTCATGCATTTTTTACTCCGTTTTTTCGGTAGACAGATTATAGAACAACTTAATCTTACATAATACTTTCAGATATATATCCAATCTGGGACTAGATATGCTCATAAGAGAAAAACAATGGCTAAAGATCTTAGTACAATGAAACCATATATATATATATATATATATATATATATATATATATATATATATATATATATATATATATATATATATATATATATAAATGGTTTCACTTGTTTTCCTGGTTTGACTCTATGTTAAATAGTTTTGATTTTTAGAAAAACCATTGTTTTGGTGACATTTCGGCAAGGTCGCATTTGCCATTGTCAAGTCAGATTAGTTCTGCTTCTTCTTGATGTTCTAAGAGAACTGGATCATTGTTTACCTTGGTGCCATTATACACCATTGTTTACCTGCTCTAAAAAACTTTGTTCAGAGTTTTTAATGATTATTTTGATAATAAAAATACAGTGGATCAATTAAAAACTGGAAAACTGTATTAAAATTAAAACATATTTATCCCAACACAATACTTAATACTGTTTATTTATGTTAAAAATATAAAATCTTACACACATCAAATATGTACAAAACCTCAATTAAAATTAAAATCATGTAAATATTCATGAATTGAATAAAAGGAGTTTTTTATCAATATTTTTTTAAATTTTATTTTCAAATTTCATTCAGGCAAGTTTCTTAATCTCCACATAGAACATTAAAACATTTTATTATCAAATGTTTGTATCTAGTATCATAACCATACTGATCTTTGTGACTTCTATAAAGATTGGTATTCCTCTTCATGAATCGAAGGTTTTATAATTATAATGTACACTTTGCTGGTATAGTAAGAATTTCCAATCCTTCATAAGCTGATGGCAGTCTTTCCTAAATCCCAAACCAACAGGGACACTCACTGCCTTTCTCTACAGACGTATTACTTTACAAGTAACTTCAGCTGCATGACCCTAGACAAGGATAGTCTCCAGTGAGACACATTTTGAAAGGTTTCTTAAAATAAAGAGACTTTTGTTTTGTTTTTTGCATAAGTTATTAATATGTGGGCTCCACTGTAATTTTGGGTCTTTTTGGGTAAATCTCTTATTAATATGCAATGAACTTTTGTGTTAGGATTAAAATGTTAAATTTAATACAGTTTTCTAGCCTTTTAATTGATCAACTGTCTTTTTATTATCAAAATAATCAGTTACAACCATTGGAGCTTTGGAGTTTGAACCATTGGAGTTTTTTGGAGCTGGTAAATGATAGAATATAAAGTCTTTATTTATATGACTTTTACTTTTGCATCAATCAGTATTTTGTTGTCAGACAAAATTAATGTCCATTAAGTAAAGGTTCAATCCATCACTTATGTAGTATTTCATTAGAAAATTACATTTTAGATAGAAAAACTCAACTTTTCTATAGAATACAATGTAAACGACAGCAGAGTAGGACTTGATGGCAGACATGACACTTTGACAATGTGAAGGTGGTACAAGTACTGGTTATCCCAATAGTCAATATTGAATCAATGTATATTATAGAGGTTTGAGTATTTATTCATAAATGTAAGCTTTCCCAAGTACTAACAAATATTGCCCTAACACTGACTGCCTTACTTATATATACAGGAAGAATACAAACTTCTAGTAAACATAGAAGCATATACTCAAATAACCAGATCCTATATAATAAGCTATCCACTAGTATGAAGGAAAGTTAACTACAAAGATTTGAATTTGAACTAAAACATTACTTTTTGAAAATTAAGGCCAATCAGATTTTAATCATTTAAATTTCTTATTGTATATTTTGAATTACCACTCAAGGGGGTAAGTTTTTTTGTATGGCATTTATAGCTTAGGTAGATAATACAAAACAAAAATGACCTGTGACCTAGTGCAGTAAAAAATATTACTACCTCAAGCAAGGAAAAATTTTTCCACCTTTTCGGTAATTTTACAGTAGGACATCCATACATAGCACTAAGTTTTAAATCCTATATAGATTAATTTTTTGAGACGCCCTACATTTTGGCACAGGGATGAGAAATTCTATGAAATTATACTTTGATACTTACTTAATGAGAACTATGTGATAAAGAACCTCGGGAGCTGTTTTAATTTAGTAAATAAAAATAACTAACAACTAACAATAAAAACGCACAATGCACAACCACGTGTTGAGCGAGACTGTTGACATGACAACATTGTCATTGTCAATACTGTTGACATTACAATCACAATGAGAATTCCCACTATCCATGGAAAATTAAGTACGCGCATTTCGTTCGCGCAGACGTTCCGCCATGTTTTAAAGGGAACCATTGTTGTTTATGTGGTGTGCATAGAAAAATTAACCCGGTTTAATTGACTTACGGCAATCATAGACATACTATACAATCATATCAACATTGTTAAATGTAATTACTTACTATAATTAACGACGATATGTACGATAATATGTATATTACTGCACCACGCGCCTCGATATTTCCAGAAAAATTAACCGCCTGCCACAAATGACACATGGGTTGACTCTTGACTGTGCTGCTGAAGCGACGGAACGTCGACACAGAAAGGCAGGTGGTAAAAATAAAGAAGAAAGAAGAAGAGAGTCGGTCAGTTGATTACATCGAGTTAGAATCTATGGAGAAGCTATAAGCACAGAATAATAAACAATCAGAATGCCAACTCTCAGATGCCGCTTTTAAAGTTTTTCAGCAGGCGCGCCATGTTTTAGAAGGAAACACGTACCACAGACATATGATTTGTGAGGTTATGTAATTGTTTATATTTAGGTTTAATTATATTATTATTTATGTTATTATATTTAACAATGTTAGTATAATTGTATAGTATGTGTATGATTTTCCGTAAGTTAATTAAACCGGGTTAATTTTTTCTATGCACACCACATAAACAACACTGGTTCCCTCTAAAACATGGCGGAACGTCTGCGCGAAGGAGATGCGCGTACTTAATTTTTCATGGAGAGTGGGCATTCTGATTGTTTATTATTCTGTGCTTTTATATGACATTTAACATACGCTTAAATGGTGTCAGAGTTGCCAAGTCTCCAGTTTTTTCATACTCTCACATAATATACAAATGCATTGAAATTATATAAAAAATCGTAGATTTTAATTAAATTAAAGATAATAATTAAATGTATATACAATAAAATTGCTTAAAGTGATATAAAAAATTAATAGTATTAATTAAATTACCATATATTAGAAATGCATTGAAATTATATTAAAATTCATAGATTTTAGTTAAGATAATCAAAGGCATATACAATAAAATTGATTAAAATGATATAAAAAATTAATAGTACTTATTAAATTACCGTATAGGCCGTGGTTATAAATAAATACCCTTTTAACGGTCGCCCGCAATAAACTTCTTAGGAAATGTACAATTTATGTTCACAAGCACAAGTGTCATTGTAGCGGGTTGACCATTCGCGCCTAATAATAAGGTCCTAATAGATAAGATTTTGAAAGTGCTAATTTACAATATTTAACTGCATTTAAAGTAACAGAAAATATTTGTTTTATGCTTATTTAAAATTTGTAGCCTCTCATAACACAAATTATTATTTCGTAAAAGCACAGAATACTAATCACAACACATTGCAGAGTCTACTTCAAAGATCACAGGATTTTACTTCCTTTTTTATATATTTTAGAAACTGTTTGCTTAGTTCGTAAATACCTACATGTCTTTCCAGCAAGACCTTATCATGACTACTAAACGAAAATTCAACCTTTGATGTTTATTTACCGATGCCGTTCACAGTTAGTAAACAAATCTATATTATATTCTGCAAAAAAACCCTTTTACGACATAAATCTGCAACATCGTTCCCGAAGTTTCGTAAAATGATAAAAGCCTATCTATTTGAAAGACCATTTTATTCAGTAGAAGAGTTTCTTAATTAATAACTAAGAAATTACAATATCTTAATGTACAGTTCCATGGTTCTTTACCCGTGGGTCATCATTACCCAAAGTAGCTTAAACTTATTAGTTCCTACGGTTGATTATGCAATTTGTTATTGTCTTTTTCCTCTGAGTCTTTGTAAGCTTCGTCCATAAAATTGTAAAATTTTCAATGACAATAAATCATATATTTCTATTCTATTCCCATCCGGGTTATGTTTATCCATGCTTATAATGGTCTTTTAGAATGGGGCGGAATAAGGAATATTTACTTGCATTCTATAAACATTCAGAAGTTCGTAATTAGATTTTTATGAAAAAGATTAAGATATTACAGCAAACTGTTATACAACGAGAATAAATTTTTAACTGTACGTAAATTGTCCTCTTACAAAGCCCTTATACACATACATGAAATAAAAAAGGATACTATTATACATTAGCAATCATGCGCATCAAACTAGATATATAAGGAATAATGAAATTTTATCCATATGTAATAAATCCATACTCCAGAAATATGTTGGCTACATAGGGCCCAAATGATACAATTGTCTACCGGAGAATTTAAAACAAATTAAGAGTTATAAAAAACATAGATATCAGTATAAAACTAAACAATGGATTGGAAACAAAATAACACAATTCTGCTAAGAGCAGATTAATTGATCATAGCAATAAATAAAAATATCGAAATATACCTTGTTTTCCAACTACAATATTTCTTGAATTTATTGACATATTCATGTCACATGCTATATTAAAATCATCGAGCAAAAAGACAATAGAGGGAATGTAAAGGTAGTGGGGGCAAACATATTGTTAGACAGGAAGTGCGATCTTTAGAGGCCACTTTAAACAAGGAAAGAGAGTCTCTCTCCTTGTTTGACATCAAATTTAGTTGGGTTATGTTATTGTTTATCCTAAATGTCACATGAAATCTTATTTATATTGAAGTTTTTTAACAATTGTGTCGCATTTTTAACTCTTATCATTAATAATTAATTAAAACTTTCTCGTCTAAGACACATTCTGAAAAATATTATATAGCTACTGTTAATAAGTGTCGGAAAATTTAAATTTCGCGCATTCGCATTTCCGGATATGTCCGCCATCAGAGGCCACTTTTTTGGTCTCCTTTTCATAAGGATTAGATTCCCTCTTTTGTCTTATTGCTCGATGATTAAAATGAATGTATTTTTGTAAGTGCGCATATGTAACTGTTTATATTAATACATTTGTTAAATGTTTGCTTTTTTGCACATATATTTTTTAAGTTTCACACACAAGGGGTGCTACTTTTATGGTAGCTCTATTTCAGTGATTTTTCATATTTATTTAGTGTTAAGTATGCTTATTTTTTGTAAATCTATATTATAATCTAAGCTTCCTAAATAAACATTATTATTAGTATTAATTACAATAAATTTCTATTATTATTATTGTGTTTTATTACAATTTTTTACCCCTTCCTACTACAAATGTGATATATCCAGGCGAATTGAATGTAGTTCTGTACAACCAGAAGTTTCAGAGACCTCAGATGCACAGAAAGCGAAATCGAAGAGGTATACGTGTATATTAATTACAATAAATTTTTATTATTCTGTTTTATTACAACTTTTTACCCTTTCCTACCATACATTTGATATGTCCTGGCGAGTTGAATTTACTACAATACAACCAGAAGTTTCAGAGACCTCAGATGCATAGAAAGAAATCTAAGGTCATTTTGTATACAGTCATTCTAGCCGCAGCTGCAGAGTTTTTACGCGCAGCGAAAATATCGTGGTGTTGGAGGTTAATAGATATTCACATTCAAAGAAATTCCTCAACAGGAAACAAAAAAGTCAGCAACTTAAGACAAAGTTAATAGAAATTTCAAAAGTATAATTCTGTATTGATAAGTAAAAAAGTCTTGAGTCAAAATATAGATTTTAAGTGATGAAGTGTTTTATTAACCTTAAAAAAACGATAAAAAGTAATAGAAATCAAGCTTTTCATCTCTATTTTAAAATTAACTCTCAAATTCAATCGGTTTTTTAACGTACTAAAATACTTTTAGTACGTTAATTTGTTTGTTAAAAAAAAACAAATCGATATTTTTGACTTAACAACTTTTTAATTATCAGTTCAGAATTGATATATGTTATATTAAATTTTACAGAAAAAATAAAATTCATACAAAACAGATTACTTAAAAATGATTATTCATTTCTCAGTGTAACTATCATTTACCACAGTTTTGAACGACTTCCTCACTACTTTTCTTCGTGTAATCAAATGTAGGTTCATTGCTACTGTCACTCTGAATTTCTGTCCTCCCAACATCAAAGGTTCCGACAAAGCTTTCGCTTCTGGTTGTGATTAGTGTTCTGTGGTAAAAGTAACTTTATATTTGTAACATTCATATACACATTTTACTAAAATAAATACGGCAACACTGTGACTCAGTGCCTTGAGGGAGGAAAATATTATTTGGTTTTGGCACCGGTTTTGGGTGTTTTGGTTAGGTTTTGAGTGCCCGTTTGGTGTTTATGTGTATTGCCCCATTATTGAATTACATACAGTATTAACCAAATGGAAGTGTCACAAGAAATCAGTGAGGAGACATGTGGAGACTGTGGAGTTAAATGTACTTTAGATTGTTTAGGTTTGAAGGAATTTCCAGTAAAGATGGAAATTGAAATAGAACAAGATATAAATCAATTTACCTGTCTTGAAGAAAAACAAAAAACCAAAGAAGGTAAGTAAATATGCAGTAGATCCCCTGGATCTTTGCCAATTGTCATCATTCCTATAATAGGAAATAAACCAAAACATTCTTGTGTAAATACCAGGTAACTTAATTAAAATAACAACTATTCTTCAATACTGAATACCTTTTCCTTTATGTTCTATTGTAGGTTTATACTACTTGACATTTATATTCCTAGTAGGTATATTATTCATGTTCAATAATTAAACTCACAGAATGATTTATTTACACTTTTATGTATACTTTGCATAATGTTTTATTCCATTACTTAAGTATATAATACAACTTGTAACAATAGCCAGTTTTTAAATAGTTGTCTCATAAAATTCGAGGTAATTGTACCTAACTGTTGCAAAATGGAGAAGTAGATCATTATACCAAATCCAGTGCACCAAAAAGGTGCACACAATATATATTGTCCAGCCACTATTGGTGATACAGAAGTTTCACTGTCCTCATGGTGTATTTAAGACTGCCTTCATGTCAAACTATTATTATTTTGGGAGAAGTCTTTAAAAAATCGTACTATGAAGTAAAAACTTCTTGAGTAAAATGGTACAAAATTTATTAAAAATAAATATAAATTTTATACCATTTTACTGAAGAAGTTTTTACTTTACAGTAAGTTTTATAAAATTGTAGTATACATTCAATCATTGGGATTTTCCGTTTTAAATATAAATAAGGCCCAATAAAGGTGGCTGAACTTTCCAAGCTGATTCCTTTAGTTCCCTCAGGTTTCGTTAATAAAATTTGTTGAGCAGGGTAACTTTTATTTGCTATGGCTAGATGTCCTGCCACCACAGGTGTTTAATTTTATATTGCAGCGACTATACCACTGGCTTCCAGGTAGTTAGAACAACTATCCATGTTACAAATACTGAAACAGTTAGCTAAACTTATACAAATGGCTTTGGAGGATTCTAAAGCCATGTTGAGAATAGATGGAGATATAACAGAGGCATTTGATGTTGAAAATGGAGTTAGGCAAGGTGATGAATTATCAACAACAATTTTTAATCTGAATTTGAAAGCTATTATCAGAAAACTAGATATGAACAGCTGTATTAATACAAGATCCACTCAAATATGTGTATATGCTGACGATATTGCCATAATAAGTCATAATAGTATTAAGCCAAAAAGCTATAGATTTGAATCGGAAAGCTGCTGCATTTGGTATAAATATAAATAAAGGAAAAACAAAATATTATATAGTGCACAAACTCGAATGAACATGAGAATCTTCAAGTACACAACCATACCTACTAATATGCCTCCACCTTCCCTATCTAGGCTCAATAACAAATGACAGCAATAATGTCAGTCAAGAAATACAAGCATGGATTCTTAGAGGTAATAAGTACTTTTATGCATACAAAGACTTTGGTCACTTAAAAAGGATGCCAGATAATTGACCTGTAAATGTAATCCAGAGATGGAAATCACAAAATAGGACAAGAGAAAGGCCTCATAAAAGGTAGAGAAAGATGGAACAATACACCATCTTAAATGTACCATAAATTTGAAGCTATTTTTATTCTGAACCATTGATTTAATTTCAATGATTTTTTTCTCATTGAAGATCATTCTAGTATTCATTTTACTTTTGAAGCATAAGGATCGTTTGCGGAGCTTAGATCGCTATCAAGTTAAATAAATTTAATTGCTGATCTCAAGTGTCTCGAAGTGTGTCTCGAATAGTGACTGTAAAAGTATAATAAACCACTGCAATTGAGAGATTGTTGCAGTGAGTGAGAAAAGTGAAACATCAATATGGATTTTAATAGCCAGGGAATGCAGATAGTGCAACTGCTACATACACCTAATCACCTAATGAGGCGGCATTATATCAACAAAACCAGGCCTTGATTACTATTTAACTGGGAAGATAGATAGATAGATAGAATTTATTCATCCACAAAGTTTACACAATTTTTACAAAAAAAAAAATGTATAATTCTTATCAGACTAGTTAAAATTTTAGTACAAAAGAGTACAATATATAGCAAAAGTACACATGATTAAAATGAAACAGTTATTACAATAAAATAAATAAGAAATAAAAGTTACAAATACAAATTTAGAACTATAGTTGCAAAAATGTTAAAAACTTAAAAATCCATCAACACTGTAGAATGTGTTGTCCATTAAAAACGAATACACAGTTTGGCGAAAACCTTTATGTGAAGAATTACTGAGAGTTAATATATTGACTATTTTATTGTAACATTTTATTCCAATATATTCAGGTGCATGTTGGGATACACCTATGCCAAAATATTAGACTTCTTAAATAGTGACTTGCAACTATCTGAAAATGGAACACCATACATACTTCTTAAAACTTTCTTTTGAGCTCTAAATGCCCATTCAAAATGAGATGAGCAATCCCAAAATATTAAGCCATACTGAAGTACAGACTGGACTAAACTAAAGTAAATTATTCGCAATATATCAAATGAGACAGTTTCTCTTAAATTACAGATTATATAGCTACATGTACTTAACTTTGCTGATACATGATTTACGTGAGTTTCCCATGTAAGTTTATGATCTAGGGTTACCCCCAAAAATTTCGTTGTAGTATAACTTTCTACTGATTTGCCATCCACATGTAAATAAAAGTCAGAATTTGGAGTTAAGTTTTTTGGTAAGAAACTCATAAAATGTGTTTTTGTTACGTTGAGCTTGAGTCCATTATTTTTACAATATGTGCTAAATTCAGCAGACACAACATTTGTATTTTCCACCAGTTGTATGGGTTTACTGTGAGACATGAGAGTATTGGTATCATCAGCATACTGAACAATTTTATCTGGCATTGAACAAAACGTGTTTAGGTCACTTACAAATTTAATGAAAAATAACGGCCCAAGTATTGAGCCTTGAGGTACACCCATCGTACATTGAAGTGGCCTGGACGTTACATTTTCCACTGTGACTACTTGAGTTCTATTACTTAGATAAGATAGGGCCCAATTGTATGATATACCATGTATTCCAATACCCTGCAATTTTTCACGTAGTAAGAGTTCACGATCAACCTTATCACATGCATGACTAAGGTCATAAAATAGACCCAACACATTTAATTTATCATTTAATGCTTTATAAATAAATTGAAGACAGTCAGAAATATCAGTATTTGTAGATTTCTTTTTTCTAAACCCGTTTTGAATAACAGGAAGAATTTTAAAATGTTCTAAATAATCTGTTAATCTATTTGCAAAGGCTGCTTCAAATATTTTAGAGAACTGACTTGACACACAAATAAGCCTATAGTTTGCAATATCCGTTGCAGATCCTTTATTTTTAAAAATAGGGATTCCTTTTGATTCCTTTATATCCGGAAATATTCCGCATGTAAATGATTGATTTATGAGATAAGGTAGTGGTAAAGCTATATAAGTGGCAACATGTTTCAAAGCTTTTCCATCAATTTCGTCTACCCCTGCAGCTGTTTTAGAAGCAGTTTTTAATACAATAGATATAACTTTTTTTTCAGTGGTTGGTGATAAAAAGAAACTTGAATTGAATTGGTCAATTTGTGTGGTACGGTTAACAACTGATAAAAATAGCCACAATTAAAGGTTAAAATATGTTTACTGACGTTTCAATTTCCACTTCGGAAATCGTTCTCAGAATAAAAACAGTAAATTTACTGTTGAAATTGAAACGTCAATAAACGTATTTTAACCTTTAATTGTGGCTTATTCCCAGTTAAATAGTAATTAATTTAAAATGCCACAAGAAAATAGCTTCAGAACAATATTAAAAAACCAGGCCTTGTTCGCCGAGAATGCTACGAGGTCACAAAACGAGCAATCATTATATCAGGCTTGGGCGATAGAGAGAGATAAAAACAGGATGTTGCAAGAAAACATCGCGAAATTAAATGCGTCAAATCTGGATATGCAAAACAAATTAAAATGGTTTGAAAAAGAAATTTTGAAACTGAGAAATACAGGGGCAACAGAAATAGCCAATAATAATTCAAAATCAGAAAAAAATACAAAATCAGAAAAGGTGGAATATTACACTGTTGAAGAAGAGTTAGAGAGCTGACCCCTCCTTCTCCAAGCAGAGAAGAAAAAGCTATAAAGCAACAAGAGAAGAAACCAAAATCACCACCACCAGTAATAATTGACAAAGAAAAGGATACACCTAGATTGCAAAATTACTTTAATAAAAATAATATTGTGTTTAAATCAGTAGTCATGAATAATGGCATGCTTAAGGTAAATACCCCTGATAGTGACAATTATAGGGAGTTAGTAAAATTATTAGAATCAAATGAAGTATCATTTTACACTTATGAGAATAAACAGGAGCGTCCCATACAGGTAATGGTAAAGAAATTACACCACTTCTTTACATCAAAACAAATAGTCAAAGATTTACAACAAAGAGGATACAAAGCTGTACAGGCGGATTCAAAATATAAGAGACAGTCTATCAATCTTTAGATATGTTTATTGTAACTTTCAGAAACGACGAAAATATAGATAAGATCTTTGGAATAACAGACATACTTAGTATGAGAGTTGAAGTACAGCCACTTAAAAGTTCAAGGTTGGTGCCTCAATGCAAGAGATGCCAATCATATGGACACACCCAAAGATATTGTAAAAAAGCACCAAGATGTGTCAAGTGCACTGGAGAACACTTGACAAAAGACTGCGTAAAACTGAAAGAGGAAAAACCAAAGTGTTTGCATTGTGGTGAAGGACATCCTGCAAATTATAGAGGATGTTATGTAGCTAAAGAAATCCAAAAGCTACCAAAAGAATCCGAAAAACTAACAACAATAATAATAATAATTCAGCATCAAAACCACCACAAAAGGTGTAAGGTACTGAAAAACCAAAATCAAAGGCCCCAGCCCAACCTGTCACTACGAGCAGAAAATTTAGTGATGTGGCCAGCTAAATAAGAAAATGCAACATATGTTACACTTAGAATAATATTAGAAAAATTAGATAAAATGGAAGAGAATTTTAATACCAGGATTACTCGTCTGGAACACAGTGCCAAAGGAGCTATTCCAAAATCAAGTAATGGTTCAAGAAATTAGAATAATTAAATGGAATGCCAATGGACTGCTGAAGCATCATAGCGAGCTTCAAGCAATCCTAGATATTGAAAAGATAGATGTGTGTTTAATTTCTGAGACACACTTCACTCGGATATAGGATATCACACAGTACATCCGGACAATGTAGCGAAAGGAGGTAGTGTAGTGATAGTCAGAGACAACATCAAACACCATGAAGAGATGAAGTATGTCACCGAACACATACAGGCTACCACAGTATGTATTAGGATTAAAGACGCAGAAATAAACGTAAGTGCAATTTATAGTCCTCCTAGACATAATATTAAAAAAGATCAGTATATCGATTTTATGAAAAGTTTAGGCAATAGATATATCATAGGGGGTAATTTCAATGCGAAACACATTCAATGGGGGCCTAGGTTTACAACTACCCAATATCTATCTACTAATTCACCCATAATTCTAACCATGAGTGATATGATTATTAGAAAAGAGAACAACCCAACCTTAACTAATAAGCTCACAGACTGGGAAAGTTTTAAAGTAACTCTTGAAGAAAAGATCAATTTAGCTGTGCCACTAAAGACTTGAACAGATAGATCAAGAAGTAGATTTATTTGTCAAAGATATTCAAGATTCAGCATGGGATTGCACTCCCATACTGAAAACAAAAGTTAAAGGGAATAACTACCCTAAAGAAATTCGTGAATTAATAAAAGAAGAAAGAAAACTAAGAAGAAAATGGCAGCAAACGAGAGCCCCTCGAGACAAAACTAACCTAAACAATGCCAGCCAGCAACTTAAAAAAGAAATCCAGAAAATTAAGAATGAATCTATTAAATCTTATCTGGAAGAGCTAACAAACGACAGTAGCATAGATTACTCGCTTTAGAAAGCTACAAAAAGAATTAAAAGGCCAATATTACATTCTCCTTCAATAAAACTGGAAGACGGTAGTTGGGCCAGAAATAATCAGCAGAAGGCAGAGAGATTTGCCACCGATCTAGAGAACACATTTAAGTTGCAAGATGACCAAGACGATGACCAGGATTGGCCCGAACCAGAGCGAATAGATGAGAAGATCAAGCCAACTTCCCCAAAAGAAGTAGCTGAGTTAATTAAAGAACAAATCGACCCAAATAAAGCACCAGGTTATGACCTCATTACCGGAAGACTGCTAAAAAATTTACCAAGAAAAGCTATCGTAAAATTAACAAATTTAATAAATGCTGCCTTTAGACTACAATATGTTCCAGATTTATGGAAGATAGCTGAGGTGATCAAGATACCAAAGCCTGGAAAACCCCCCAATGAGGTGACATCATATAGATCAATATCACTCCTACCTGTGATGTCCAAGGTGTTTGAAAAACTCCTCCTGTGAAGAATCCTACCAATAATTGAAGAAAAGAAACTAGTTCCAGATCATCAATTTGGATTTAGAAATAAGCATTCGACAATTGATCAGGTGCATAGAATAACTGCTATAATTGAAAGATCATTAGAGAAAAGAAAAGTCTGTTCTGCAACCTTCCGAGATGTGGCACAGGCGTTTGATAAAGTCTGGCATAAGGGTTTGATACATAAACTTATTTAATTCATGCCTAAACAATATTAAAATATATTACAATCATATCTAGCGAACAGACATTTTAGAGTTAAACAAGAAAATGCTTCAACAGATCTCAAGGATATTGAAGCAGGTGTTCCACAAGGGAGTGTATTGGGTCCAGTCCTATACCTAATATACACATGTGATATACCTGAACTAGAAGACGACACCATAGCTACCTTCGCAGATGACACTGCTGCTTTAGCAGTAGGTGACACCATCGAAGAAGCTACGGAAAAACTACAAAATTCAATAAATAAAATCCATGAATGGACCAAAAAATGGAAAAATTAAGCTGAATGAGAATAAATCAGTCCATATAAATTTTACCAATAAGATAATTAATAATATTCCAATTAGAATAAATGATGTCCAAGTGCCTATTGCAACATCAGCAAACTACTTGGGGATCACTCTTGATGCAAACCTTCGCTGGAAAGCTCACGTGAAGAAGAAAAGAGAAGAACTAGGCATCCGCTACAAGAAAATGTATTGGTTGATGGGAAGGCATTCCTCTCTATCCATAAATAATAAACACCTAATCTATAAACAAATACTGAGGCCAGTATGGACTTATCGCTGCCAACTCTGGGGCTGTGCCAAGCCTAGTAACATCAAAGTAATCTAGTTATTCCAGAATAAAGTGCTGAGGAACGTCGTAGATGCGCCTTGGTACGTTAGGAACAACGATCTTTACCGGGATGGAAGACGTCAATCAGATAATCAAGAAATTTGCAGGGAGCCATGAACAACGACTCCATTATCATGTAAACGTCGAGGCTATCCAGCTCAACATGTGCAGCTAAACATCATTCAACTTATAACTTATCCTTTTACATTTCTCATGTACCTAGTGTTGCTTTATGGCAGATAGGGCCTTTCTTAAGTTATAAGTTGAGTACTATACAATCAACATACTACAAAACCATGTCCCAACCATCAAATTTTGTTCATTTCATATAATAGTTCAACGAACACCTTAAAACCCTTATATCCATTAAGAATAAAATTAAATACCACAATTTATCATCAGTAAAGATGACACCATAATTTTTTCGTTTTACTTAATTTTAACAGAGCCAACCCACAACCATTCCATTTTCACATTTAAGGTCAATATACACCTGCAACTCATTCAACTTGTAACTTATCCTTTTATATTTCTCATGTACCTAGTGTTGTTTTATGACACATAGGGCCTTTCTTAAGTTATAAGTTGAGTATTATACTATCAACATACTACAAAACCATATCCCAACCATCAAATTTTGTTCATTTCATATAATAGTTAATACACTAAAACTTCCACACCACTTAGTCCGTTAACACCTAATCAGATATTTATGTTAATGAACTTATAACTTAAAAAGTTTTATATTTACCAAGTACCAAATGTTGTTTTTTGACATATAGGGCCTTCTAGAATTGAGTTATAAGTTAAATATTACATGAACATTATACTACAAAAGTTTTATTTTATTCACTCAAGAACACTTTCATATTTTAAATATATTCATTCATATTCCACCAATAACAATAAAATTTCAAGAACTCAACTTCCCACATGTGCCTAGTTTCTACGTGCCAGATACCAAATGTGGGTAGAAGAAACATAAAGGGCCTTATATTGAAATCTCTATTTCACTACACTACTGCACACATGTATAGTTGGTTGCCCAACTACAACCACATAATTTTCGTTCCACATTTCATCTTATAGACATAATTTTAAAACAACATTGATGGTTGATAGTGTTATATTAATTTATTTTACTTTAACAATTTTAAATAATGTTGGCTTTTGTCTTAAGTGGACACATACAGTTATATTGACTGCTCTGTTACGACATCCGTCTTAACTTGTCAATATTGTCATTTAAATCAGTTGCTTCCATAAAGTCCTCGTAGACACACCGTCTCAGGACTAGCAACCAACGTGGAGTCATATGTCGCCATGTTATCTAATCCAACGGTAACTTTAAACCAAATGTAACCAATTATTTGTTAACGGGTTTTTACCCGTATATTTAGTGGTTACATTCATGTACTTCTAGTAAGTATTAACCACACTTTGCATTAACCTTGGTCAAAATTTAAACTTCATGTTCTTTTTAATTAAGTGGTTATATATTTTCTAGGACACTGATGATGGAATATGGATTCCGAAAACGTTTTGTCTAACATAGCCCGTTTGGGTTTTTAAATATGTACCTTTTATAAAGGATTTTAATAATTTTTTTGTTTGTATCTATGTTTAGGCCTTGTATAACTATATTTTTACGCCTTTTTCCATTTACCATACTTTCAAGCAGTTCTTCTATTTGAAAAACTACCATTTTTAGTTTTGTGTTTTCTTCTCCTGAGTTCTCTTGATTGTTCTTCTATCTTTATACTCACTCCTGTCATCATATCCATAATTCTTTGTACATGTTCTTCCATTTTCTCCTTTTTGTTCTCCCTATTTTGCGACTTTTGGCACGTTGTAACTCTTCCTCTTAATCTCCTTTTCTTTTCTTGTCGTTTTCGTCTGTTGTGGTACCGTCGCTTTCGAGATCGAAATTCGAAAACGATATTTGTCCTTATCTTCTCCGCTCATTAAAAATATTTTCCTTTTCCGTAACCCTTCTCAGTGTAACGTCTTACTTTATTTTCTTTATTTATGTTAATAATTGTATTAAGCAGTATATATTATTTCGAACCTCCCTAGTTATTTGACTTAGCTGTAGACTTGGCAACACCGCTTTCCAATCATCAAGGTTCAACTAAGTTCAACCCAATATTGGTGACGTTTTTATTGTTTGTGTTATTCTTACTTGGTGTTTTTGCCAATTTCGAACACACTGTTAATGTTTTGATTATTATTTTTCACTATGCGCTAAGATTACTTACTTAACTTTTCGCTTTATACTTTAAATATAATTGATTTACTCTACACTTCGCAAAAAATCATGTTTAATACATGAACAAATACAATTTAATATTTACACGTTTAGCGCTACGTTGCTTTACTTTGTTTTTATTTTGTGTTTGAAGTCATTTTTCTCTTTAAAAATGATTTGTATTTTAGGTTTTACTCAGGAAGAGAACAAAACGAAAATTATGGAGGCTTTTGTGGAAAATTCATCATATAAAGGACACTTTATGAGTCTACACGCTAAAGAAAAAACCGTAAATAAAAATATAAAAGTTCAGACTAGACAGGGACCTTACAATTGTGAAATTTGTTTTAAACAGTTTTCTCAAAATTTTAAATTTCAAAAACATTTAATGTTACACACCGGAGAAAGACCGTACAAGTGTGAAATTTGTTTGAAAGGATTTATCTACAGAGGGGATTTGAAAAAACATTTCAGAAAGCATACGGGAGAAAAACCGTTTGAGTGTGAAATTTGTTTTAAGAAGTTTTCTTTAGCAGGTAATTTGAAAACACACTTGAGACTGCACGCTGACGAAAAGCCTTTCAAGTGTGAATTTTGTTTTAAACCGTTTTCTACGGCATATAATTTGAAAAATCATTTGACAGTGCACACTGAAGAAAAGCCTTACGAGTGTGAAATTTGCTTTAAGAAGTTTTCTATAGCAAGTAATTTGAATACACACTTGAAATTGCACGCTGAGGAAAAGCCTTACAAGAAGTGTGAAATTTGTTTTAAGCGGTTGTCTTCAGCAGGTAATTTGAAAAAACATTTGACACTTCACAATAAGGAAAAACCATACAAGTGTAAAATTTGTTTGAAGGGGTTTTCTATAGCAGGTAGTTTGGAAACACACATGAGAGTGCATACTGAACCTTACAGAGAAACCTTACAAGGTAATTCCAATTCTGCTGAACTTTTACTTTATAAAATTAACCAAATTCACCCCAATATCAAGTTCACCATGGAACTAGAATCATCCATGTCAATCAATTTTCTTGATCTCACCATTACCAGATTAACTGACCACTTCGACTTCAGTATCTATAGGAAACCTACACAGACTGACCACATAATTCCATTTTCATCCAACCACCCCATGTCGCATAAATACCCAGCTTTTCACAGTTACATCCATCGCCTAGAAACCATTCCAGTTTCAGACTTAAACTACAAAAAAGAACTGAACATACTTAGACAAATAGCAGTCAACAATGGATATGATCACAACATCAACAACAAACTCATCCGCAAAAAACGTCTTAAGACCCTGCAGGAGACTGCGTTCCCCAGAGACCTCACCACCAAGCCCAATTTTATTACGTTTCACTCTCATACCATCATGAAAGTCTTTCTGGAGATATTCGAAATCTCATCCAACATTCGGTTGAAAACATCCATGTTTCATTTAAAGTACCCAACAATTTGGGCCAACACATATCTAATTCCAAAGATCCCATCAATTATATGGATCGGAATGGAGTGTATAGACTAAAATGTTCAGATTGCAATGCCTCCTACATAGGTAGAACATGCAGATCACTATCCTCACATTCTCTAGAGCACACAAAAAGAGAAAATACTTCCACTTTCTCTCAACATCTCAAAGAACATAACCACACCCTCAATATCCCAGAAGACGTTTCACTTATTCACAATATCCCCCAAAAAAATTTCCTTAAATTTGACTTATATGAAGACCTTGAAATTCTTAAAGAAAAATAAAAAAGCCCAAATGCGTCAATCGTTATGTATCTTTCAATCGAGACTTCCTCCCTCTCCATCGCCAACTATTCTCATAATCTTCACCCTTAATCTACTTTTACAATAAATATCTACATTTATCACTATTCGTTCTCATAATACTCATCTTCTTTAGTCCACTCCAAAAACTTTTCTTTCAACACATCATACTCTCCATCTTTAACCTGTCTTTAACTTGTCCATGCTTCTTGTCGGCACCTCTAAATTTTAGACTATTCATCATCCCTTTCAAACAAACCCCTCAGTTCTTATTTTACTCTTCCACACAACTCCATTAGGGTTTGGTTGCGGTTCTCTGGGGATCTCAGCCTTCTGTAGGCTTTCCGTATTTCACAATTTTTTCAAAAAACACCATAATTTTCTTCTTTTTTACTTAATTTTAACATAGCCATCAAAAACCATTTCATTTTCACAATTAAGGTCAATATACACCTGCAACTCATTCAACTTATAACTTATCCTTTTATATTTCTCATGTACCTAGTGTTGCTTTATGACAGATAGGGCCTTTCTTAAGTTATAAGCTGAGTACTATACTATCAACATACTACAAAACCATGTCCCAACCATCAAATTTTGTTCATTTCATATAATAGTTAATATACTAAAACTTCCACACCACTTAGTCCGTTAAAACCTAATCAGATATTTATGTTCATGAACTTTTAGTTTATAAAGTTTTATATTTACCAGGTACCAAATGTTGTTTTTTGACACATAGGGCCTTCTATAATTGAGTTATAAGTTAAATATTACATGAACATTATACTACAAAAGTTTTATTTTATTCACTCAAGAACACTTTCATATTTTAAATATATTCATTCATATTCCACTAATAACAATAAAATTTCAAGAACTCAACTTCCCACATGTGTCTAGTTTCGATTTTCCAGGTACCAAATGTTGAAGAAACATAAAAGGCCTTATATTAAAATCTCTATTTCACTACACTACTGCGCACATGTATAGTTGGTTGCCCAACTACAACCACATAATTTTCGTTCCACATTTCATCTTATAGACATAATTTTAAAACAACAACATTGATGGTTGATAGTGTTATATTAATTTATTTTACTTTAACAATTTTAAATAACGTTGGCTTTTGTCTTAAGTGGACACATACAGTTATATTGACTGCTCTGTTACGACATCCGTCCTAACTTGTCAATATTGTCATTTAAATCAGTTCCTTCCATAAAGTCCTCGTAGACACACCGTCTCAGAACTAGCAACTTCAACGTGGAGTCATATATCGCCATGTTACCTAATCCAACGGTAACTTTAAACCAAATGTAACTAATTATTTGTTAACGGGTTTTTACCCGTATATTTAGTGGCTCCATTCATGTACTCCTAGGAAGTATTAACCACACTTTGCATTAACCTTGGTCAAAATTTAAACTTCATGTTCTTTTTAATTAAGTGGTTATATATTTTCAAGGACACTGATGATGGAATATGGATTCCGAAAACGTTTTGTCTAACATAGCCCGTTTGGGTTTTTAAATATATACCTTTTACAAAGGATTTTAATAATTTTTTTTATTTGTATCTAAGGTTAGGCCTTGTATAACTATATTTTTACGCCTTTTTCCATTTTCCAAACTTTCAAGAGTTCTTCTATTTGAAAAACTACCTTTTTTAGTTTTGTGTTTTCATCTCTTCAGTTCTTGATTGTTCTTCTATCTTTATACTCACTCCTGTCATCATTTCCATAATTTTTTGTACATTTTCTTCCATTTTCTCCTTTTTGTCGATGGGAGATCTCCCTATTTTGATACTTTTTGTGAAAGCACGTTGTAACTCTTCCTCTTGTTCTCTTTTTCTTTTCATGTCTTTTTCGTCTGTTGTGGTACCGTCGCTTTCGAGATCGAAATTCGAAAACGATATTTGTCCTTATCTTCTCTGCATATTAAAAATATTTTGTTTCACCGCGATAAAGGTCTCGCCCGGTTCGTCTCCTTTGAAGCTTAACCGTTCTCAGTTTAACGTCTTACTTTATTTTCTTTATTTATGTTAATAATTGTATTAAGCAGTATATATTATTTCGAGCCTCTCTAGTTATTCGACTTAGCTGTAGACTTGGCAACACCGCTTTCCAATCAATCAAGGTTCAACTAAGTTCAACCCAATATTGGTGACGTTTTTTATTGTTTGTGTTATTCTTACCTGGTGTTACTTACTTAACTTTCCGCTTTATACTTTAACCCTAGAATACTTACCTTATTTTTACCTTCATTTATACTAACCATCGTAAAATTTACTACGCTGAGAAAAAAAATGTGGTCACTGAAAAAGTATTTTATTTAACGTAATTTTACAAATTATTTTGAACAAAGAGATGTTTCTAAAACCTGAAAATCACAAAAAAATATAAATTCTAAATTTTAGAACTACACTGCTGACAACAAAGGGCGCGATGTTCACCACAAAATGGACGTCGGCAGTGTTCGCAATGATGAGTTGTCATTCGACGTTTTTTAGACGGACAAAATTGACACATGGCACGTTTTGACACAGTAGGGCATATTCGTTCTTGCTGCGGCTCCAGATTTAAAATATTTTCAATAAGTAACTTTACCGAGCGGTTCAAAGTTGGCCAATTTACACGATGCTGTAGCCAAGGTTTAGTCAGTTGTTCAGACAAAATGGCCATAAATTTTTTTCTGGTGATGGTTTTTTTCTGCTGTCGTTGTTGGTTATGATTATAAATTATCCAAGAGTTTATGCAAGCTATATTTAACATGCCATAGAACAGGCAAAGAGGCCATCTTCGTGTTTTTCTGGAAATATTCATGTTTCCGCACATTTGCTCAAATGTGTCTACTCCGTACTTGGTTGCATTATAAAATTTAATGATATCTGGCTTTCCTGTTCGATCACATTCTACTGGACCATTGTGGATTGTCGACAGAAGAAGCACAGACTTATTTACTTTTGTCTTATAGGATACCATTGTTTTTTCACCATCAAAGCAAAATAAGGAATGACCAATTTCACGATTTTTGAGATTTATAATCTCGGGAGGTATTTCTCTTTTATTTTGCCGTAGGGTACCAACAATAGTTAAATCGTAAGGAGGTTTTAAGAGCTCCGTTGCTAGTGGTACTGACGTAAACCAATTATCCATGGTTATGTTACGCTTATTTCCGTATACACCCTGAGTTAATTGTTTTACATAATATTCTCCTAGAGGCTGTCCATTGGTTTTAGTTCCCTTTCCTAAATACAATTCTGCATCGAACATATATTTGGTACCTACGTCACACAGCATTACTATTTTCAGTCCATATTTGGCTGGCTTGTTTGGAATATACATCCGGAAAGGACATCTTCCCCTAAAAGCCAGTAGCTGCTCATCGATTGTTAGGTATGATCCGGGCTTATAGGACGTTTTGCAGTTCTGTATAAGATCATCCCATATTTCACGAATGGCTGCTAATAGGTCTGTTTCCTTTCTGTGTGGTCTAGATATTTTATCATCAAAACGTAAACATTCTACAAGAAATTCAAATCTTTCCCGGCCCATAGTTGCTTTATATATCGCACCAGAAATTTTGTCATCAAACATTTGTCTTGTCGCTAAATGATTGTCTTTTTGGGCAGCAGCAAAAATAAGTAGTCCTAGGAGTGCATGCAATTCGTCAATATTCACTTTCGAGTTTGTAAGTTTTTCGACTTTATATTTTTGTGCCCTAACAGAAATTTCGGCATTTGTATATTCTAGAATTTTTTCCAGTGAATTTGGACTCATAAAACAATGAAAAGCATCTAAGGGAGTTTGTGCTTCCTTGGTTTTATTAGTGGGGCCTTGAACAAAATGTACGAAATTACGTTTTGGAGTTTTAGTTGCGGCCTTTGGTTGAGAGGACCATCTGTGTCCATTTTTACCTTTTAGACTCGACGGCAACCGACTTTGCTTCTCTTTAGCTGCAATTTCTGGAGATTTTTCTTCTTTTGGTAGAGTTTGCTGAGCAGGACATTTATTTTCCTTGTCGATTTTAGAGCCATTACTTTCTTTTCTTGGAAACACTGAAGTAAACTGTTTTTCCAACTCATTGCTCTTTTTAGAACTTCTTTTTCTTTTCTTACTAGTGGATGGCAAGTCATGGTCGGAATCTGAGTCGTTTTCGCTTGATGGTTCGAACTCTGATTCAGATGGACTGAATGTTTCTAAAACGACATCTTCTGTTTCAGATCTACTTTCCGATTTATCAGAATTGTTATCTGATTCATCTGGCCGAATTTCTTCCAGGCACAATTGCAACTCAGCTTCCAACTCCCGCTGCGTGAGGGGCCTGTGCATGTCTCTCTGTTTCATATTCATATTTCACACTAAAAAAAAATAAAAACTGATAATAAAAACATAACTGATAATAAAAAAATAAAAACTGACAATATCGTTGTTTTTGGCAATTATAACGTTACCACTTACCTTCGTAATATTTACGAAGCTGTGCTCATTTGCAGGTACTTCACTAATAGTGTAGGTGTCACTGTCCTTGTAAAACGTTTCGATATACACTAATGTAAGAATAGATGAGCGGTCGAGAGATACTGGTGTACCCCTTCCACAATATCCTACAACAATGACATTGGCGTCGTAAAAATTACGATGGTTAGTATTCTAGGGTTAAATATAATTGATTTACTCTACACTTCGCGAAAAATCGGGTTTAATACATGAGCAAATACAATTTAATATTTACACGTTTAGCGCTACGTTGCCAGTTCAGCCTAAAACATATTTAGTGTTACGAACATGCATTCAGCGTGGCCCGCCTAACGGTTGTATGTCGAAGCATCTCGGGCATCTGGAACCATCGATAGATGACTCGACCGCAAGAGAACAATCCGTCACGTATTTGATTGAATTAGAGGTGGGAACTTTCTAGAACATAGTAACTTTGGTATATATATGTAATGAAATTAGGAGTTAAGTTTAGTTGATAAGGGAATACCGAACTGTAATGTTATAAATAAATATATTTATATAAATTCGAACCGCTCGTTTTATTTAAAAACGGTACATTACTATATTATTGGGTAGAATTTTGCTTTCGGCAACAGGACTTTATGTATTTTGCTTTACTTTGTTTTTATTTTGTGTTTGAATTCAATTTTCTCTTTAAAAATGATTTGTATTTTAGGTTTTACTCAGGAAGAGAACAAAACGAACATTATGGAGGCTTATGTGGAAAATTCATCATATAAAGGACACTTTATGGATCTACATGCTAAAGAAAAAACCGTAAATAAAAATATAAAAGTTCAGACTGGACAGGGACCTTACAATTGTGAAATTTGTTTCAAACAGTTTTCTCAAAATTATAAATTTCAAAAACATTTAATGTTACACACCGGAGAAAGACCGTACAAGTGTGAAATTTGTTTGAAAGGATTTATCTACAGAGCGGGTTTGAAAAAACATTTCAGAAAGCATACGGGAGAAAAACCGTATGAGTGTGAAATTTGTTTTAAGAAGTTTTCTTTTGTAGGTAATTTGAAACCACACTTGAGACTGCACGCTGACGAAAAGCCTTTCAAGTGTGAATTTTGTTTTAAACCGTTTTCTACGGCATTTAATTTGAAAAATCATTTGACAGTGCACACTGAAGAAAAGCCTTACGAGTGTGAAATTTGCTTTAAAAAGTTTTCTATAGCAAGTAATTTGAAAACACACTTGAGAGTGCACGCTGAGGAAAAGCCTTACAAGAAGTGTGAAATTTGTTTTAAGCGGTTTTCTTCAGCAGGTAATTTGAAAAAACATTATTTGAGACTTCACAATAAGGAATAACCTTACAAGTGTAAAAATTGTTAGAAGGGGTTTTCTATAGCAGGTAATTTGGAAACACACATGAGAGTGCATACTGAACCTTACAGAGAAACCTTACAGAGAAACCTTACAAGTGTAAAATTTGTTTAAAGAGTTTTAGTGACATGGGGGTTTTAAAAAGACATTAAAACCTTAAAGAAAGTGTGAAATTTTTTCCACGAAGTTTTCTCAAAAATCTAAATTGAAAATACATTTGATTGTACACACTGGGGAAAACCTTACAAGTGTGAAATTTGTTTAAAAGTTTTAGTGAAATAGGGGTTTTGAAAAGGTATTTGAAAATACATACAGGAGAACAACTTTACGAGTGTGAAATTTGTTTAAAGTAGATGTCTACATCTGATAATTTGAAAAAAACATTTGAGAGTGCACACTGAGGAAAAACCCTACAAGTGTGAAATTTGTTTGAAGAGGTTAATGAACTACATTTGAGACTGCACTATCCCTTAAATCGAAAATCATGAAAAAATCATTTTTATATTTCTGAAATATCAAATCGCATATTAATATTACACAAATAGTTTCTTTAATGTTTATGATATCATTTTTGATTGACTGTGAAATTTTAACCCTTAAAAACCACCCCCTTAAAGCAGAATCATTGAAAAAATTAATTTCAAGAAACTTTAATTATTTGAATAATACATTACTGAATTAAAATCTCATTTACTGAGTATTAAAGTATTTATTTATATAATATTGCGTAATTTTGCACCCTTAAAAACTACCCCTTCTCATAAAAATAATGAAAAATGTTTTTTTTATTAGCTTTAATAGCTTTAATCATTTAGAAACTTTTTTATTGGTTATGATAAACTTTAACTTTATTAATATTATTCTTTCCACATTTCCTGAACAATTTTTTCAATGCTTATGTATAAATATGCTTATGATAAAAATTGAATTTGTTAGTTAAGAGGAAAACGTATTAAAATATATGAAAACTTCATTCATTTTTTATTTAACCTTTAACTACGGGCGCCCCTCCATTAGTCATAACTACGTGCGCGGTGTATTCTGTACACCACCGACTAAAAACGCAAATAAAAGCCACAACTAGGTATTTTTAGTACATATATTGTATATAATAAATGTAGGCATATATTTACGAGAATGTCTTAACATAAAAAATAATACATAACGAAAATATAAAGATTAGCAATAAATATAAGAACAAAAACTCAACCACTTCTTTTTCTCTAAAAATAACCTTCTTGAGATTCTTGTATATTAGCTTAACATTAAAAATATTATAAAACTAGTATATAAATCTAAAAACTAGGAGTAAATAATCATTCACAAATGAACATATTTGAGAATATATGTGCTATTCACTTTCGTTTTCTTCCTCGTTTGCGTCTACTAAATTACAATTTGCACAAATTGTAACAGAGTGCTCTTTACAAACCATTCTATTACATTTGTTGCAAGATATTGTTGTAACTCTATTTTTGCTCCTTCCACAACAATGGCACCTCCCCCGTTTGTTTGCTGGTGGTTCTTCATCGTGGTCGTCTTGTACGTTTTTGTATTTCTTCAAGAATATTTTTAAATCCAGAGGTAAACTCTGTATTTCCGCCCTCTCAGAAAGATGAGGTCTTATCAATGCCAATGATAATTGTTTTAGAAAAACTCTTCTATATTTTTGAGGATTGTCGACGTTGGCAGCATTGTACAGGATCTGGCTGTTAATTCCGGCAATATTCAGGAGTTGAAAAAACAATGCCATTAGCCATCTTCGTGTTCTTCGGGATACCGAATAGGTACTGCACATTTTGTCTACAGTGTCTACGCCTCCTTTATGTGAATTATAGTCTAAAATTATCATTGGTTTTCCTGTTTCGGGATCTACTGTAGAATTACTGTGCATGGTAGATAGGAAAATTACAGCTTTATTTTTTTTTTTGGTGTGTAGGACACAATGGTAACTTCTTTTTGAAAACCAAAAGTGGATGATCCAATTAGTGTGTTTTTTCTTGGTAAAAACTCTGGAGGTAGTTCCCTTTTATTTCGTTTAAGTGTGCCAACCATCGTTATCTTTTCCTTCAAAAGGTCAATTGCCAACAGATAACTCGTATACCAATTGTCGCATGTTAAATTACGGTTTTTACCTTTCTAAGGTTGAAGCAGGCGATGGGTAATATCCGTTGGTGTGTTAGATTTTTTGTAGGGCTCTTCCGGTTGTTGACCACAATACATCTCAAAATTGGTGACATAAAAGGTCTGCGCGTCACATAACACAAACATTTTTAAGCCATACTTTGCAGGTTTACTTGGAATGTATTGCACAAAGTTGCATCTACCTCTAAAAGGTATCAACATTTCATCGATAGTCATTTCTTCTCCCAAGGAATAGTTGCTGGTACAGTTTTTCATAAACGTATCAAGAGTAAAGCGAATGGCAGCAAGTTTGCCAATTGATTTTCGGTCCTTTCGAGTATCTTTGTTGTCAAACCTAAGAGCAGCAAGCAAAAATAAAAATCGATCTGCGCTCATACAGGCTCGAAAGATTTCTGAGCCGGTACCATATTTTGTCCACAATTCGAGGAAGTGTGTATGATTTTGTTTTTTAGTCCCTGCAAGAAATAATAATCCTAATAATGCCATGATTTCCTGTTTAGTCGTATCTTTAGCCCGTCTTGGCCGTTCTTAATTTAATCGCATTTTTGAAATCTGCAAATTTGTACATTCAACTATATTTTCTATGATTTCATTTGTAAAGAGTTTTTCAAAAGCACTTAGTTCCGTAGTACCATCTTTCGCACAAACTGTTGGCCCAGGAAATAACTTGACAATATTTTTTGAAGTAGTTTTAGTAAATTTGCTAAGAAGAGATTTCTTATACCATTTAGTTTTTCTGTCTTTTGCTATAAAATAATCATTGTCTTCATCAAGATCTGAACTGGTTTCAATGTTACTATTTGTGTCCGAGTCAATCGTATATTGATTTTCGTCATTCAGATCAACTTCTGATTCAGTGTCGTGCTCCGTTTTTTCTATTAGCTCGTCGTCTGAAGTATCTGGGTCTCCACCAACATCTTCATCAGATTCTTCCTCAAATATAGCTTGAGCCATAGCTCTAAGTTCATCTTCTGAGAGTTTTTGGGGATTTCTTACTGGTACACGATCCCTGCAAAGTAAATATTTTGTAGTAACCCTCGATTTATAAACGTTACGAGAAATATATAGAGGCAACGTTTGTAATTTTATATTATTTATTTCTAATTATTATTTCCAAGAGACATGACCGTATTGCTATGGAAGAAAGAACATGAAAAAACAAGACCACAAAAACAACTAGAAGGTCGTTAAATAGTCCAATAATAGGTACTCACAAATATCCAAATAGATAACGGTATATTAACTTATGAGAAAATACTAAAATAAAATATTTGATCAAATGTATTATCATAAAACTAGTTTTATTATAATAAAATGAAAGTTTTATTAAAATTTTAATAACAAATTACAAATTCTTTTATTCAGAAGGTTGCAAAATGTCTAGCTTTTGTTACATATAAGTCGCTATACATTAATAATGCTATTTTTTAGTAGATAAACGTAATATAATTCTCACAAAATTTACTTACATAACTAGGTGCTTGGTGTACTACATACACCACTGGTAAACTTCTGAATTTTTCCAACCGTCAGTCTATCTCTGCAGCAATCAATTTTACAACTGTTGAGGTTTCTAGCTGACACATCAGAGAGAGGTTAGGTAGAGGGACACGTGCGCAACCAGTGCTTATCAGAAATAGCAGCCAATTTAGTGCGACTGGTGTACTGAGTACACCGTAGCCCGTAGTTAAAGGTTAAGTAATGTTTCATAAATAATCAAATATTAATAGTAGGTACTTTAATTGTTAATTTTTCACTCTTCATCAGAGCTCTCTTCAACAATTTCTTCTTTTTCATTAATTGGGGGGCTATTTTGGCAATTGTTCCCACTGCATGATTCGCAGACTGCATTGCAAAATAACCCTACTCTTCGACACCCGCAAGAAGCGTGAAATATTTAATAGACACACGGCATACTAGAATGCTAGAATGCCGCACTATGTTTTTGAGCAGATATACAGAATTCCTTTCACTAGTTTCTTTTATCTTCAAAATATAGATATACACATCTATATTTCGTGAGCATATACCTATCGACACGTCTACTTCTTATTACCTACCTTTTTTCCGATATATACATACAAAATCTCTACTCCAAAAATTTTTCTAAAAAAATGGTATTGATTGTTTTACAATTACTCCGTTAATTTTTATGATATCAGGTTAATTCAAAAACCATTTGAAAGGTAATTTCAAGAGCTATAAAGTCGTATTAAACTTAATCTTTTAGATCTCTTTTTTTTTAAAGAGATCTAAAAGGTAACAGGGTAAAGGCCCCGGTTACATGGTTTTCGCAATAAAATTAAGGTTTTAAGCGTTTTCATCTCTTTTTTTATCCTACAGAAATATAAAAAAAGGAAAATCTTTGTTAAAAAAAAACCTCAAATTTTGTTCTGTATCAGTTTTAAGTATATTGAGTATATACAGATTGAACCAAATTAAAACGGAACATAGGAAATACATGTATATCGGATCTACTTCGCTTTAGGTGCTTAGCCAACAAAAGGTTGTCAAATAATTATATTATACAAATCCAATACTTCAACGAGCGGCTGGATTCTGAATTCGTTGTTTAAAACAGGTGAAAACTCCCCCAAAAAGGTTGCCCCGCCCATCACGTATAAAAATTGAAAGCTAAACTTCTACATTTCAACAGTGTTGCCAACAGGAGGAAAATGTTCGTTATTTATTTATTTTTCTCACGATTGATGAGAGAAATCACATGCCATGAAATTCGATCAATAACGAATTCAATAACAACGTATTTCAGTTGAGTCAATTTATCTTTACCCGTGCGTCATGATTTAAAACATACGAAATCAGTCGGAAATTTACTCAAA